TATTTTGGTATTAACTGAATCCATATCCGTATCCATGACCAGGCCTGGTAAGGAACAGTGTTTGGAAGCTCGTACCAAAATACGAGTATGTATGAGCAAATTTGAGATTTCCCAGCACTGGTAAGGAAATAAGAGGGTTATTGTGTTTATTTGAAAAAAATATTTTTTGATTTAAAAGAATAGGAAAACTTACATAAAATTTCAAAAATTATGTAAATTCTTAGAATAGTAAAAATTTCCCAACAATCATTAATTAAAACTTCAATAATCTCCCAAAAATCTTTTAATATAATTAAAAAAATTTTACAAATGTCGTTTAATAAATTTAAAATTATTTTCCAAAAGTCGTTCAATAAAGTCAAAAGAACTTGCAACAAATTCCAAGGATTAAACAATGGCATTTTAGAATTTAACAAAAATTATTTTTTGAATTTCTTATATTTACTTTTTTATAGAAATGAGAGGCGATGAAAGGCAGAGAACTTTTTTGCCTTTTTAAACCTGACCCAACGTTTTTCTCAACCCGTGATCCTTGCGGTGAGTCGGCAAATAGTATAAATTTAAAAATTGTGAATGTTATGGAAAAAAGAGTTTAGGCAGTTTTTTAAATATTATTATAAAATTGGTAGAGTTGGATACAAAGATGTGTCTCTTGGATGGAAATGGATTACAACATGTATACAAACCAGGGGACGAGCCGACAAAAAAACAAAATTCCCAATTTTCGGGAATCCGGACGGCTCATTCCCTTATTCAAACCCGACTCTCCAAAATCGGGACTTTTTAGACGTGAAACTCGATTCGAAAAATTTTGAAAACTCGATTCGACCCGGAAGGAATACTTTAAATGAGTAAAACTAAACCATCATTGGATTAAATTGATGATGGCAAAATAGATATAAAAATACAAATTCATGGGAAAATGCTTATGTATATGTCAGACGTCGTGTCTTTTCTTTAGATTCATTTTAAAAAATCTTCTCAGGCAAAATTTTTACAAAAATAATTTTAGCAAATCTCTTTATTTACTCATAACCATAGTTCCCTTAAAAATTTTAAAAATTTTTAAATATGTTTTTAGAGTCAATCCCTTATATGTAGTATATCGAAAACAGACTTAATGGAGACAAGATTAAGAAAAAACGCAGTTATCTGGATTTTTCGAGATATCGAACTTAATCGACGAGAAAATTTATAACGTTTGAAAATCCGGGTACAGCCCAAGTAGGCGCGCGGCCAAGTAGGCGCAAAGCCATAACTTGCTTGAAGATTATCTAATCTTTCAAAATTTAGTATTAAATGGTTCCTCTCATCGAGCTAAAGAGATTGGTACCAAAATTGTTAAGGTCCAGAAATTTTTCAGATAGTTATGGCTTTGCGCCTACTTGGCCGCGCGCCTACTTGGGCGTGTCCCTGAAAATCCCATTAAAAAGTTAAAAATACAGAACGCCAACATTTTTTCTATTTTAAAGAGTCCTTCCTGTCTCAAATTGAGAGAGAACTAGCTGGTCTTTAATAGGAACAAATGAACTGAGTAAGACAATTAATTGTCTTCTATTGACATTTTTTCGTTACAATTTGTCTTGTAGGAAGACTTTTACGCTTATTTTTGTCTATTTTACGGATCTTGTTTACAATAAGTATCCAGCTCGTTCAAAAAAACTTTTGGGTATAACAAAACGAACAAAATTTTCATAGGACGTTAAAAATGTGATTGACGCCTAATCTTGAGAAGAGCCGTATTTCCTGCTGTTTAAAAATTTGAAAACCACTTTAAAATTATTATAAATACAGAATGCCAAAAAAAATTGTTTTGATTTCCAAATTGGATACTATAAAAGGCTTGTTTTCTCTTTATTCTTTGTAAAAACCTTTTAAATTCTCTTTCTAAAAAAACAAAACTCCAAAACAAAAATGAATATTCTTCTTCTGCCAGTCGAAGTCCATCTGGACATATTTAAATATCTCAACTTTAACCAAATATCCTCTATTCAACAAACAAATAGCTATTTCTGTTCATTAATTGATAAATATATTGGGATATTGGCAAAGAAGAAATTTTATTCTTTTGAGACAATTGTGTATAAATCGGTTAATGACAAGAACAAATATTTAAAATTAAATGAAGAGGATATTGGTTTGGATGATGGTTTTGAGTTGAGTAAGGAACTTGAGGAGAAGGTGAGGGATTGTTAAAAAGGTTGGGTCTGATCCTGGGCTGGTTTGAATCCTAAGGGTTCTTGACTATTGTCCATATTCAACTGACATAAGTTTTTGCCCATAACCTAGGGGAACCGGTAACTGTCCATTTAATGTTTGGATCTGGTTCTTGGGGGTCTGTCTTCAGGAAAAATTCGTAGTTTAGTTGTCTTTAAGTATTAATTTTGTCTTTTACTTTTCAGTGGCAACTTGCCGTAAATAACAAAACTCCAATGTATTGTTATTCGGAAAGTATTAAATCAAAGGAGCCTTATATCATTAATTTTGCTATTTGTTTGACTGAAAAGGAAGGTGAAGAAGGAGGTTAATTTTTAATTTTATATTATATGTAGAAATAAGGTGAGTTTCCCACTGAGTTTCCTATCAGGGATGTGTTATCTTTCGTTGTACGTAGAATTTTTTTTGACCCTTCCACGTTCCCCCTTTCGCTTTTTAAAATACGGGAAGACATATTAGTGGTTCCTACCAGAGTTGGGTCGGGACAGTCAGAGGTGTCGGAAGAGCCGGAAATCGGAATTCCGACCCTCTGTTTCCTACTAGGACCGGGCTAATTTCACGTTTCTCATTTTTCAGCGCGAAAAGTTTCGCTTTTTATTTTCCATTTTGCCCAGCTCTGGTTCCTACCTTTATTCTACAATACGGCCCCCGAGTATCTCTTTTATGGTGATTCTCATACGACAAATTTTTTGTTTCTCGAGGTTTTTCGAGATTGAGATTTACTTCGATTACGACCCTTTCTTCCGTTTTCTACTAATTACTATTTCATTTCGTTCAGATAATGATCTTCCACCGGCTAAATTGCTGTTTAAGAACAACAATCCACATCTCTTCAAATATTTTCTTTTAAAATTGCCTTATATTCCAAAAAATATCAAGGAAATGCGTCTCTGGCGTTTTTGGTTGGAAAAACTTTTGTTGAAATGCATACTTGGAGAAATTAAATTTGACAATATTATCTTCAATCCAACAATGTTAATGTTGCTATTCGAGAACAAAAATCCGCTTCTTTTTATTGGGTTTAGTGTAGCTTTTGAAGAAGATCTTGTTCGTGTTGTTCTTCAACAATTTGTCAACTTTCTAAAAAAATTTGATAAATTGAAAGGAGGGAAAAAATATTTGGATTTGTGGCCCTATGCCCGATTGGCGGATTTATTTTATTTGGTGAATAGTATATTTCCTTCTGAGGCTGGTGTTATGACCTATGATATGGTGTGTTTAAGAATTGGAAGATATCCTGATTTTCTTAAATAAAATGTATTAGGATTTTAATTATTGTAAAAATATAGGAATATTTTTTGTTTGATAAAATTGTTCTTTAATGTATTGTTGTTTTTTGACATTTGTTGCCCTTGCAACTTAATATTTTTTAAATTTATTTTTTCATACTATAAAAGGCTTACTTTTCTTTTCATTTCTCTTCTCTTTCTACAGTAAAATTGAACTTCGTATACCCCATCATTTTTCCTGGGACACGCCCAAAGCGGCGCGCGGCCATAACGGCGCAAAGCCATAACTAGCTGGAAATTTTCTGACCCTTATTAATTTTGGTACCAATCTCCTTAGCTCGATGAGAGGAATCGTTTAATACCAAATTTGGTAAGATTCAGAAAGCTTGAAGCAAGTTATGGTTCAGCGCCGTTATGGCCGCGCGCCGTTTTGGGCGTGTCCCAGGAAAATGATGGGGTATACGAAGTTCAATTTTACTCTTTCTACAACAAATCTAAAAAAACAAAACGCCAAAAACAAAAAATGAATATTCTTTTTCTGCCTGTGGAAGTCCATCTGGACATATTTAAACATCTCAACTTTGATCAAATATCCTCTATTGAACAAACAAATAGCTATTTCCGTTCATTAATTAATAAATATATTGGGATATTGGCAAAGAAGAAATTTTATTCTTTTGAGACAATTGTGTATAAATCGGTTAATGACAAGAACAAATATTTAAAATTGAATGAAGAGGATATTCTTCATATGCGTTTGGATGATATTTTTGCGTGGAGTGATGATATTGGAGAGAAGGTTAGGGATTGTTAAAAGGTTGGGGCTGGGTCCTGGACTGGTTTTTAAATCCTGAACCGTACTAGGGCCTTGGCTCTGACTTAACTAGGGCCTTGGCCAAGGGCCTTAACTAGGGCCTTGGCTGAACTCTGACTTAAGGGAAACCTACTTTAGTTCAAATTAACCAAATGTCTATTAATTTCTTCTTTTTTCAGTGGAAAGTTGTTGTCGATAACAAAACTCCAATGTACTTGTTTTCTGAAAGTCTCAAGTCAAAGGAGCAGTACATCATCAACTTTGCTATTTGTTTGACTAAAGAGAAGCCTAAAGGAAAAGGTTAATTTATAATCTATACAAGTCTTGTAAGTGCCAAGATTATAGCCTAGACTGTCTGGTATCTTCTGCCCGTTACAGCCTTTGAGTATTTCGTTGATCGAATTTCCGGGCTACCCATACAGAAGTACCCTTACTCCCTCAAAAGAAAAAGTGGGTGGGGCTTATGGGGGGTAAACTACACAAAAACCGAAAAGTCTGTGTTTACTCATCCAATCTATGGCAATAAGTACCCGAATTGCCAGAGGTGGGTCTGAATTCCGAATTCGGCTGATTTCCGAGTTCCGACTTTTGAGCTATTTCCAATTTCCGACAGTTCCGATTTCCGGCATTTCGTCATTTCCGACCCACCTCTGCCGACAAGTCTCTGTGAATTCGTATAATTATTTCCAGGTGACAAGTCCAAACGTCTTCTCTTAAAATTGCCTTATATTCCAAAGAATATGAAAGAAATGTTTCTTTGGCGAATTTGGTTGGAACGACTTTTCTTGCATTGTATTTTCGAAGAAAAAATTGTTTGTGAGAATGTCATCTTCAATCCAATAATGATACTGGTAATGTTCAATAACGCAATCCCGCTGGTTTCATTAAAAATGAATTATTGTGAGAGTGGTACATGCGCCGATGGTGGCCAGTTTAGTTTTCGAATGTTTCCAAACTTTATGGAGGATATGGAGAAGGAGAATGCTTCGCAAAATTTTCCGTGGCTTCACTATGCGAAATTTGCTCAGTTGTCGTGTTGGATCTTCTTGCAAGATGTGGATGCTTCTGGTTTGGTTAAGGAACTCAATTTTTGCTTTATTTCAACTTTTGGATATCGTAATCGTTTGCCGATGAGTTAGGCATTTTATTTGTCTGTAATAGGATTAAATTTTTTGTGTGATAAAATTGTTGCTTTTTAAAAATTTTTAATGTTTTTTTTAACTTGTTGCTGTTGCAATTTATTTTTTTAAATATTTTTTGTCACGTTACTCCCAATTTATGTATCAATACTTGCTCTAGTTGCTTCTTTCATTCCCTTTAAATTTTTTAGAAAACTTGTAGAAATGCTTGCTGGGAGGTGAGGTCCTCTCTGGGAGGGGAGGTATCCTTAGGTAGCTCTCCCAATGGCCAAATAAATTTAAAAAAGCCAGCCCAACTCTGAGGCCCTACTATCTATAAATTATGATAGCCCTGTTATGTACGCCTCGTTATAAGATAGGGTTTTTTCAGTGCAAAGAGGGTTATCTCATGGGGATGTTTTGTCATCTTTAAATTATTTTCTTTAGGGGTTGAAGAAATAATATTCCAATTAAAGTCAAAGAAAATGAAAAATCTGCCAAACGAAATTAAAATTGATATTTTCAAATGTCTCAATTTCTATCAATTAATCAAAGCTCGTCAACTCAACAAACAGTTTTGTGCTTTGATTGACAAATTTGCTGGAAAATTGGCATGCAAGAGAAGAGTTTATCGTCGAATTCGACAAGTATTTTTATTTAAAAAAAAATTTTTTTAATTTTGTTTTTAGGTTAGTCCAGACATTTACAATAACACTAACCGTTAGTTTAATTTTTTACTTGAAAAGAATTAATAAAATACCCTATTTTCTCTAATTGACCTACCAACTGCGTCCCGGCCCTACAACTCAGGAAGGGGTGTATATTTTTTTATGTCCTTGGTATCAATGGACAGAGAATTGAATACGCTACAATATACCATAAAATCTAAAATTTTTGACTGACCGCTAAGAAAAGGTTATATAAATCCTCTTGACCCCCCCCCCCCAATTTTCACAAAATTTTCGCCTGCAGCGCTGTTGGTACTAAAAACATCAAGAAGTGACCATCCCTTCATAAGTTATACGGGCTGGAAGCAGTTGAGGTCCCTGCCAACTTTTAGCTAACCGGTGATTTTTAATTATTTTTAGGCAGTCGTTCAGGTTGTTGCCCTTCTAATAGACCCTGCCGGTAGTTTTTAAACTTTTAAAAATTTTTTATTTTTTTTTAATATTAATCTTATTAGGCGTTAGAACTCTTTGTTGTGAATTTATTGTGAACAATCAAGCTTAGGTTTTGAGTTTTCTCTTGATTGATGCTTATGAGTGTTGATATTTGATATTTATTTGCTCAAAAAATTTTCTTTTGCTTGTTAAATATTTTTAAATCAAAAAAAAGTTTTTTTTCCTAGTAGTTTTTACAACTAAAAAAATTTTATTTTTAAATTTTAGAAAGTTGTCAAAACGTCGGAATGCCAAACTCCCCCCCATTATGGCGTCATTTCCAGGGACACGCCCAAGTAGGAGTGCGGCCAAGTAGGCGCAAAGCCATAACTAGCTGGAAAATTTCTGGCCCTTAACAATTTAGCCAATCTCTTTAAGCTCAATGAGAGGAATCGTTTAATACTAAATTTGCCAAGATCCAAAAATCTTGAAGCAGGTTATGGCTTTGCACCGTTATGGTCGTGCGCCTACTTGGGCTATACCTTATTTCCATTGTTTGGCATTTTGGCGGTTTTTAATGATTTGGCATTTTGTTGATTTTTTTCTTTTAGTTTTTGAGATTTTTTCTAGTCTTCCAATTAACAGGCAAAGAAAAAATGAAAAATCTGCCAAACGAAGTAAAAATTGATATTTTCAAATGTCTCGATTTCTATCAATTAAACAAAGCTCGTCAAATTAATAAACATTTTTGCGCTTTGATTGATGAATTTGAAGAGAAATTGGCATGCAAGAGACAAGTTTATTATCATTCTCGTCAACCAGTATTTTTATTTAAAAAATTTTTTTTAATTTAATTTTTAGGAACTCTGTAATCGTTGCAGTCGTGAATTAAATGATGGACAGCACTGTTAGCTTGCTTTTTATAAAGGGGCCGAGCTTGATAGACCTACACTTTGAAGACCTACAATTTTTGGAAGGGAAATATCAAAGGGGAATATTGAGTGATTTAAGGTGATTGAAGTGAATAGAGACAAGGGATGGGCCCTGCCGCATTTTAAGTGAGGCAGGTTAAACAAGTAGAAGACGGAAGCGAACCCATCCCTGATAGAGGTCTTTTCTCAACCAGATTTTATGTGGTCCCCTTTAATCCCTCTAAATCCTCAATATTCCCTTTTAAAAGTTGTAGGTTTTGAAGGTCAATGGGGTTTATCAGGGTTGAACTCTTTATAATTTTGAATGATTTTGATTTAATTTTTTTATCAATTTTAGGCCGTTATGGTATGACAAATCCTTGTCCAATGTCATCAACCTATCGCGGTTTTCGTATTGGTATGGGTTTTAATCGGTATGGATTTTAAATAGGGTTGTTGGCGACCGGTTATTAACCGGTACCCCCGGTTTTCGGTTTTGAGTTTTAGGCAAATACCGGTTTATTTTTGGGGGAATTTTAAATAAAATCACTCATTTTCACAAATTTCCGGTTTTTAAAATTTTCTAAAAACGGTTTAATTTTTGGCAAAAAATTTCAAGAATTCCGGTTTTAAAACCGGTCGCCAACAACCCTAGTTTTAAACTCTAAAAATATTTTTATATAAATCTCTCTTTTAGAATGTGCATGAATTGTGGACGGTCATTTCAGTCAGGTTCCAATTTTGAATTTGATGGTGGCGATGCTTTTATGTAAATGCTGATTGTGAAAACATTTTAGTTTTGAGGACGATGATAATTATATAAATATTTAATTTAAAGGTTTTTTTTGATCTCGGTGTTTTTTGTTTATTAAATATTTCTAAAATTTTTAGTTTTTTTCGTTTAGTTGTATAACTCGAAAATTTTATTTCTTAATTTTACTCGTTTTTTTTTGAAGCGCGTCGTAATGCCAAAACGCCGAAATACCAAATTCCGGTATTTTTTGGGTATGTTGCCTTCCATGTTCCGCGGGTTGAGTATGGGAGGGGGCTATCCAAAAACTAGCCAGACCCTCTCTTTATGACGTCTTTTCTATTGTTTTTGGCATTTCAGCGGTTTTGGCATTTTAGCGTTTTTCGACGTTTTTGGCATTACGACATCTCATTTTTGTTCTTTTTGTTCATTAAAAACAAAAGGATGCTTAAAAAGAAGTTTACTTTGGTTGATGGAGTTGACAAAATTTCGTCTCGTCTTCGTCCAGGTTTTCTTTTTTTTAGTTTATTTTTTAAGTTTAAAATTTCTAGGCAGGCATATTTGTGGTTGCCAAGCTCGTATACACAATTTAATAAGGAATTGTTTAAATTGTGGAAGGGTAGTGTGTGAACAAGAAGGAAGTGGTCCTTGTTTTTATTGTGGGACGATTGTTTGTACTAGAGAGGAAAGACAGGTTTTTTTGTAATTTTTTAAAAATTTTTTGGGTGTCCTTACACTTAGCTTCATCCCCCCCCCTCTCTAATTTTATTTTTTGTCATTTTTTTATTCTTGCCTACGGCACTTTCATGAGGTTTAATTGGGGGTTTTGGAAATTTTTTTTCCAATTTTAATTAGATGTGTAGATTTATTTATAAAAAATTTTTTTAAACGTTTTAATTCTAAATTTATGAGGGAAAGTAGAGTGACATTGAGTAAGGAAGTCTGACCATTATGAACCCTATGCTGAAGAAAAAAGGGAGGGGGCGAAACTAAGAATTGGTCTTATTTATATATTCACTTGTTTTTGGGGGGTATTTAAAATTAGGAAACGAAAAATTTTTTTCCTGACGTTAAAGTAAATTAAGCGGGTTCAAGCAGTACATGTTGATGAACATTTTTTTAATTTTGGATTTTTTTTATTTTTTTAGATTCTCAAAAACCGAGATAAAAAGGCTTTGGAATTACTCAGAAAATTAACTTCAAAACCTCAATTACAAAATTTTGATATTTTGGATTCTGGAGGGAATTTGGAGGATATTCACTCAATTCAACAAAAATTGTCTTTGTCCTCTCTAGCAGAAAGTATACAAAATGCACAGAAATATAAACAAAAATTATTGTTGGCTGATAAAGACCAGTTTGTGTTTTTTTAATTTTTATAAAAATTTTGAAAAAATTTTTTTGAAAAAATTTTTCAAAAAAATTTTCTGAAATTTTCTGAAAATTTTTCAAAAAAAATTTTTTTTGAAAATTTGAAAATTTTTGAAAACTTTTTTATATTTTTTCAAAAATTTTTCAAGAAATTTTTATTTTTCCAGACAAGTCACAAAAGTCAACGATTTACAATCCGATTATTTCTCATTGGAATTAAACCCTTATTTAACAACTTCAGAACGTGAAGCTATAGTAAAAAGAAAAGAAGAATTGAGACAATTAGCTTTGCAAGCAAAAAGAAATATTTTGGTTGATTTGGATGTTGCAACGGGGAAATTGGCCGAACAGAAAAAGGTAAATCAGAATTATTTGTATTTTTTGTGTTTTTCTGGTTTTTAATTAAAAGAAAATACACAATTAAATGCCAGAATATTTTTGTATTTTCTGTTGTTTTTATCAAAAATCAGAATTTTATATGAACATTAGAAATATCAGAATTTATAATGTAATCAGAATTTTTAACGAACACTTAAAAAATCAGAATTTTTAACGAACATTTAAAAATCAGAATTTTTAATGAAATCAGAATTTTATAGGAACATTTTAATTTAGAATTTAAAAAAATTCTGTTTTGTTTTTATAAATCAGAATTTTCTGTATTTTCGTTTTTAAATAGAAATAGAATTTTTACTAAACATCAAAATTTTGTGTTTTCTAATTGTCAGAATTTTATATGAACATTTAAAAAATCAGAACTTTTTTTATTTAATATTTTAGTTAGAACAAATTGAATCCGTTAACGACCCAGTACTTCAATCAATTTTGGCTAATTCTGTTGCCAAAAATTTACATAGACAACAAAATATAAGCAATATAGAAGAAGAAAACAATGAAGAAGATGGTGATATGGCTTCAACATTTAAGCCTAGTGTGAGGGAAAAAAATTTTTTTTGGAAAGACGGAAATTTCAGAGAATTCTTTTCAGAATTTTCTGAAAAATTTCTTTCCAATTTTTAAATTAAAAAATATTTGTTCTAGTACAACGCTGAAACAAGCCAACGAAAAATTCAACTTGAAGAAGTCTTTGCCTCCTTATCAACAAAATATCCTAAAAATTATTTTAATTTAATAAAAGAAGATGAAGATGGAAGTGAAGAAGAAAGTGGAGGATTATTTTATAATAAATTTGAAGATATTGCTTTCGATGTTAAATAAGAGGTAGATTTTTTAAACTAAGAAATTCTGATTTTTGTTAGAAAATCAGAATTTTATTTGAAAATTGAAAATCAGAATTTTTAATGAACACGGAAAAATCAGAATTTTTAATGAACATTAATTGTTCTTATAAAATCAGAATTTTATACGAACATTAAAAGATCAGAATTTTATTTAAACATTAAAAAATCAGAATTTCATTTGAACATCAAAAAATCAGAATTTTTCTTTTTTTTAAATCAGAAGAAAAATTCTTCGTTCTTGGAAGTGTCAAAAAATTATTATTTTTTAAATAAAAATTGTCTAAAATTTCATTTGAAAAATCAATTTTTTCTCTATCATGAACAGTCAAAAATGCACGTGTTCAGGTGTACTTATTTTAGAAAATTTTTAAAAAAAAGTGATTGATTGACAAATGTTATACTTAAGGCTTTACCTTTACTTCCTAAAAATAACTGGAAATTAATTTTAAAAATTTATTTTTTTTCATAAAACATTTCATAAAACATCCTTTACAATTTATATATCTTGGTGGTTCAGCAAATGCAATTGCAACCATATATATTAATTGTACAAATTGTAGGCACAAAGCCACTTTTGATCTTGTAACCATCGGATGCGTATTTTTATTTTTAGTCACCAATTTTTCAGTCTCTTTTTTACTCAAATCTACTTCATTTTCTTTTTCATTCTCATTATTTAAATTTTCTTCTACTATATTCTCATCTTCAATCTCCAAAGGAGAGATTTTATTAATCGGGCGTATAAAAGTTTTATCTCCAATTTTTATCTTTGCGCTTCTAGCTGGAGTTCCATCCAACTCCACTATTTTTCCTAAAGGCCAGACATTGCGAGGTTGTCCTTCTTGATGCATAATAACAACTTCGCCAATTCTTGGATTTCTTTTTAAATCATTTCTTTGATTGTGATGAGTCCACTTCGACTTATCTCTCAACATTATGAGATAATCACGCTTCCAGGTATCCCAAAACCTCTGAAGCGTTTTTAAAGTGGCCATCCATCTTTCTTGAACTTGTTCGGCCGTGCTCATTTTTCCTAGCCGAAAATTATCGTCTTCAATTTCTGGAAATTTTTGAATAATTTCCACTCTTGGTATTATAAAATCAATTGGCCTCAAGCATAATGGGCCGTCTTTTTCTAAAGATATATAAGAAATAGGTCTACAATTTATAGACATTTCTACCTCCTTTATAAATGTTCTTAACTCTTCTATATTTAATATTCGACTTCCCAAAGATCTTTTAAATGAATCTTTAACTAATTTTACTAATCGCTCATAAACGCCACCCTGCCATGGAGACAAAGCAGGTATGAATTTCCATTCAATCTCTTTTTCTAATAAAAAATTATTAAATAACTTTTCATCATTATTTGCTTTTTCTTTCTTCCATTTACCTTCAATATTGGCATTTATTACTTTTGCAACCGTTATAAACTGATTGCCATTGTCCGAAATTATTTTCAATGGTGCGCCTCTTTGCGCTACAAATCTTCTTAAAATATCCAAGAATGAAAATGCAGATAGATCTGTAATTATGTCTAAATGGATTCCTCTTGTTGATAAACATGTAAAGAGCGCAATCCAAAACCTGACTTTTCCTCCTTCTATTTTGCACATAGAAGGTCCGAGATAATCCACTCCAACAAATTCAAATGGACGTGATTGTCTTACTCTTTCTTTAGGCAATATAGGCATATCCGGCAGTGCAAATTTAGGCGAACTAATTCTTTGGCACTTTTTGCACTCTTTTATAACAATTTTAGTTATGCGCCTTGCACATGGCGTCCAAAATTTCATTAAAAAGTTTGCAACTGTTGAGTCAACTCCCGAGTGACTCAATTCTTCATGCATTTTTCTCAATAAAAGTTTTATAGCAAAACATCCCTTAGGTAATAAAATCGGATGTTTAAAATAATCTTCTGCTTCACAATTAATTATTCTTGTTTTTAATCTTATTAATCCATTCTCATCAATTATTGTCTGTAAATTATCGTTCTTTTCGTTTTTGTAAGAACTTTGTGCAATTTTTAAAACAAAAATTTCAACTTTTTTGAAATTATTTGCCGACATACGATTTTTCAAATTTATTTCACTAAGAAATTTTTCTTTTACAATTTTTCTGCTCTTTTCTATCCAAATCCGAGCAGCTATTGTTACAAACATTAAACATTTAATTAATTTATTCCATGAGTTCCAATTATTAAAATTTATTAAATTATCTTCTTCATCTATCTTTTTATTTAAACAACTTAATATTAATTCCTGATTATCTTCTTCGCAAGTATCTTCTTTTTCAATTTCAAAATTCAATTCATTTGGCCAATTATTTTCAGGCCTTTTTAACCAATCAGGACCTTCCCACCAAATATGGCATTTTTCTAATTCAGATGCCATTATACCGCGAGTGGCTATATCTGCTGGATTATCAATCGTATTAACATATCCAAATTTAATTCCATTATTTTTTCTTATTTCATTTATTCTATTTTCTATAAATTTTTCATTTTTGCCTCCTGCCTTTATCCAGCTTAATACCGGCTTTGAATCACACCATAAAAATTTATCTTTAATTTCAACTCCGATTTGTTTCTCTACAAATTCTAAAGCTCTTTTAGCAATAACCACGCCTAAAAGTTCCATGCGTGGTATTGTTACTTCTGATTTTCTAGGTTTCAAACGATTTCGTGCATATAATATCTGTGTATGAATTTTTCCTTCAAATTCCGATTTTATGTATATGCAAGCAGCATAAGCACATTTAGATGCATCAGAAAATGCATGCAATTGTTTTACACTTTTAATATCAGTCACTCTTCTATTAATCTCGATGGGATCTAGTGTCCATGACCTAGTGATTTCTATCCATTTCATTGCATTTTCCTTACTAATTTTATCATCCCACTTATTCTCTTTAGTCCATAATGACTGAAAGAATAATTTTGCAGATAAAAGACTAGGTGAAGCAAGTCCTAATGGATCAAACATGCTTGCTAATTCACGAAGAACTATTCTTCTAGTCACGCTTTCAGCCGAATTCACTATTGGAAATACAATATTTATCTTATCTGAAGATATTTCCCATGGTATTCCCAAAATTTTAGGCTTATTCTTCTCCAGCCTATCTTCGAGTGGGAAACTTTCATTAAGCTCCACATTATTACTGATGAATTCTCTTAAATTCATTTGAGCATCTCTAAATATCTCTTTTAATCTTTTATAAGCGAGCCAAGCTTCATTGGCCGATTCTACTCCAATAAATATATTATCCACATAGGAATTTTCTTTAGCAATCTTTGCAACAGGGTCATCACACTTCTCTAAATGATGTCTGACAGTCGCTGATAACAAAAATGGACTCGAGATTACCCCAAAGGGAACTTTTGCAAATCTTAGATATTGAATATTCTGGGTTGATATGGGTTTCTTCGTATCTTTTACCCATATAAACTTAGTCACTTCTCTATCTTCTTCTTCCAATTCTAATGTATGGAATGCCTTTTCAATATCAGCCCACATGGCAATTTTTGGCACTCTAAATCGAATTAATAATCCTGCTAAATCCGGCATAATTATTGGCCCTCGATATAAACATTCATTTAAGCTTTTTCCTTCTCGCATTCTTGCGGAAGCATCATAAACTATGCGCACCTTTTTTGTATTAATAACAGGGTGGTGGGGCAGAAAATGTTCTATTTCCCCTTTCTTCTTTTCAGCCTTTTCAATCACACCTCTTTTCAAATCATTATTAATTATTTCCTCGTATTTATCTAATAAATCTGGATTTTTCTTTAATTTATCCATGAGATTTAGAAATCTTTTATATGCCAATGAAAAATTAGATGGCAAATTGTCTTTCTCAATTTTCCATGGCCATTTTACTATATAACTTCCATTTTCATTTCTTTTAATCGTACTATTAAATAAATCTAAAGCAACTTTATCATCTTTACACACAGGATCATCTTTGACTCCTATTGTCTCTAATGACCAATAATTGTTAAGTTCCTCATTTTCCAAAGTGTTAGAACTTAATATAGTACACAAATTTTCCTTTTTATTTAATCTTTTAAATTTTTCACCGCTAATTTCGCCACAAATTATTGGCCCTACAGTCGTTTCAACTTTAAATAGATAGTCCGATAATGGTTCTATTCTTTTAAAGAACCTCCAGAAATGCTTCATACCTATAAGCATATCAGGGACTATATTTGCGCAAGCAATCTCATTTGTTCTTAAGTCTGCGCATCTAAATCTTGGCATCAAATTCTTATTAATACTATAAACTATTATTTCTTCAAAATTTCCATTATCAAGAAGAACCTTTAAAGAATAACACGAAGTTTTTAGCTTTATTGGCTCTTTTCTGAAAAATGGGACAACTCCTAATTCTGTTCTTTTTAATTTTTTCAATTTTAATTTTTCAACAAGTTCATTACATAAGAAATTAACTGTTGCTCCTGAATCAAAGAAGCATTTTGCATTTATTTTATTATTTCTCTCTTTTAACATTAAATCTGCTTTCATCAAAACAATATTATCTTCGCCGTTATCATCAATATTAAGCATATTTTCACTTATTTGATTAACGCTTTCATTTTCCTTAATCTGTCCTTTCTTTTCTTTTTCAACTTCTTTAGGACAGATTATTTTATTGTGGTCTCCTTTACATATACCACAACTATATTTCACATTACAATCTATTTTGGCATGGCCTTTCCTTAAACAAATCAAACATCTATTTTGTTCAGACAGAATGCTCATTCTCTGTCCAATAAATCTGACTTGCTTACAATTTCCAGCTAAGTGTGGACCATTGCAAAACAAACATGAAATTTCTCTTTTTTGGTTCTTTGGCGCTGTAAATACACGCGCAGGTTCCGGTTTTCTCTGATTATTTGTGTTTCCATTAAATCTCCTTTGATTAAGATTCGGCACATTTTGCCAACTATTTTTATATGCCAATGACCTCGTGCATCTTTGTGCCTCTTCTCTTAAGGCCACAATTTCTGCAAGTCCTTCTCTTAATCTTCCTACACTCCAATTTACTTTCTCCAATTTTTCCATTTTTAATAATTCTAGAACAATACTTCTTGGCAATTTATTCTTAATTGCCATCATAACTATAGATTCATCTTCTAATTGCCCCATAGCAGTCAATGATCTACAAATTCGTTCAACCTCCTCGAGATATGAACGTAAAGACCATATTGATTCGTTAGCCACTGGCAAGCTAATTAGTTCGGCATGCAGTGTATCTCTAATTGCCTTTTCATTTCCGAATTGTCTTATAAGAGCATCTTTCAAAGGCGCATAATGTTCTGATATTGGCCTATAACCCAAAATTGCCCTTTTTGCCTTACCTCTAAGACATTGTATCAAATAGTGGGCCTTTAGCCCGTTATCAATATTCAAACAATCCACCGTTCTCTCAAAAGCCTGCCAAAATTCAGGCCAACGTAGAGTATCTCCATAAAATTCTGGCAGTCTAGTCCGCGGAAGATGAGGTGGAAGCACCTGCTCACTTCTAACTGGGACTTGCTCTACATTTATATTTCTGCGGACTTCATTTGTCCGATTTAAGCCAACTCCTATTTCCTCTGAGATCTCTGACTGCGTACTACGAGCATCAGAACCTTCAGCAAGAACAATTTCTATGTCATCGATAGCCTCTCTTCCTGAGTCTATCCATTCTAAAAAATGCCGTTCCTCTATGGCATATCTAGCAAAAACACCTTCTTCGGCAACTCTTTCATTTGCCGGTAAATCTTTAATATATTTTTCCCATTTTTCAACTTTTTCTTCCACGAAATTAATTGCCCTACGGATTTTAACTGCCATTCTTTGGAGTAACTCTACTCCTTCTTCAGTGCGTTCAGTGGCATCTATGATAGGTCTTACCTCTTCAAGGTATTTTTTCAATCGTACTATGGATGGCGCAATAGTACTTCTAATCGTTCCTGACATCTTTTAATTTATTTTATTCCAATATTTCCCAATTAATCTCTTTTTTAAATCCTTTTTTACCGAGCTTTCCAAATCTCAGCTCTTCCAATAATATTTTTTTACTGAGCCTTTCCTTTTCACGGCTCTTCCAATAAATCAATTGAGCCTATAGCTCTTCAATTTATTCTTCTAACTTTTTCTTTAATAACCCGCCGTTGGGTCGTGGCACCAAATGTAAAAATACTTTCCCCTTTCTTAGGGAAAACTATTTCACCTTCCTATTCTTTAATAGGGAATTAAAATATCTTAAATTAATTATTCCCTCGGAATAATTAACTAGATAAAACAAATTAAATAAATAAACACAAACACAACTAAAATTCTTTATCTTCAAACAAAATAAATATTCACACAGAATATTAAAAAAAAATGAATATCTCAAAAGACATTGAAAAGTGAAATTTCTGCCTACTTTTTATAGGCAAAAATTTCTATATAAAAATGATGCAATGTTAAGTACATTGCAAAAAAGTACATAAAAAATTGTCAAAAATGGAAAGTGACTCACTGAGTCACCTCCAAAAATAATAAACAAAATAAAAAATATCAAAAATATTTCAAATCTTTAATTCTTCAATTTCGTCATCGACATTTAGTATTAAATTAATTGTTTAATTCTTGATTAATTTGGTTTGGTTTTAGGGGAAATAAACTTTAAAATAAAATTAAAACATAGCAGAATACAATTAAAACATGTTCAGATGGTTCTAAAACATAGATACAAAACCAGAATTTATTAGAAACACAAAACCAGAATTAAATTAAAAACATAAAAACACAAACAATTTAAAAGGACATAATAACAGAATTAAATTAAAACATAAATCTAGAATTAATTTAAAAGGACACAAAACCAGAATTAAATTAAAACAAAATTAGTTTACAACATAAAAATCAGAATTAATTTACAACACAAAAACCAGAATTAAATAACAACACACATAAAAACAGAATTTATTTTTATCAATTAATTGTTTTTTAATTCTGTTTTCATTTTAATTCTGGTTTTGCGTTTTATAAGTACAAGAACAGAATAAATAAATAAAACACAACACAAACACTGAACATAAAATAATTCCTAAATTATTTTAACAAAAACACATAAATCTTTATATAAAAATATTTATACTTTATCCCCCCTCCTTTTCGCAATTCCCCAAAGGAAACAATAAAATTTTTTTCTAAATTTTGACATTTTTTGCTGTCTTGTTTTGCTTGTTTTTTCCACCAGTTTATTTTACTATTTTATTTTTTAAGATTAAAATAAGCGATAAAAGTGCTTAGTTTTTAGTGATTTTTTGAGTGACCCAACACTTAAAAAAATTTTTTCGAAATTTTTTAGGATTTTTTTAAAAATTATGCTTCTTTGTGGCCCCCTTCACTTTAAAAAATTTTTTATTATATTTTTTAAATTTTTTTCTGAAAAATTTCTGCTTGATTTATCCCACCCCGCTTAATTTTACTTAATTTTCCCATTCAAAAAATTTTTTAAAAATTCAAAAAAAAATTTTTAAAGAAAATATTTGTTTTCACACTTAAATAATTATATATATTTTTTATTATTTTTACACCTTTTTACTAATTTTATAAATTTAATCAACCATTAAAAAAAGACAAATTATGTGTATAAAATAAACAAAAAATATCAACAAACAAAGAAAAAAAAATAAAAGAAAAAAATTGTGGCCAACTGCCCAAAAAATCTATTTTATATATCCATTTTTCTCTTTTTCATATTAAATATTTTTATAAAATAATATTTTTTTTATTTCTTTGTCACACTTTTAGTCGTAAAATAAGCTAAAAATCCTCCTCCCTTATTTTTCGTACGAAAAATATTTTTTCTAATATTTTTTCTAGACTTGTAATTTTGAAAAAATGTTGAAAATTTAGAATTTTTAGAAAATTTTGAACCCTCTTTCAAATTACCCTCTTTCAATTAAGAAGTATGAAACAATAATTACCCTCCCACAGCTGCCCTACTGCGCGTTTAAATTTCAAAACTCGAATAATTCCCTCTCTTGATAAAATTAAACCCATCTAGCGAGAAGTTAAGACGATAATTTACCCTTTTAATTATTTTAGTTATACGGTATTTTCTATAAAAATTTAAAGAATTCTTTTTTAATGTCCCAAATTTATTTCTCCAGTTGTTCCTTCAAAATTCTATTATTTTCTTTTAATTTTTAAATTTAAAAGAATATATCGGAAAATGTGAAAAGTTGGGGCATTTTCCGATATTTATTTTTATTGGGGGTTTGGTTATTGGACTTTTTTCTAATTTTTTAAAGTTTTGTGTCTATGTCAATGTCTAAAATTCCAATAATTATTTTAAAAAATTTTTATTTGACATTTTAAATTTTTTATCCAAATTTACTATACGGCATTGCCACATTTTTGTGTTTTCCCAAAATTTTCCAAAAGTTCAAAAAAAATTTTTTTGACAATTTTAAATTTTCGGATTGATTACCATATTCCTTCACCTAATTTTAAAAATCGAAAAAATTTTATTTTTTTGGTTAAGTGGGAAATATTTGTGTTTTCCTCATTTAAGGGCGAAGGTTCGAGTCCCTTCACTTCCCAATCGTCTAAAATTTATTTTAAAGGGAATAAAAAATATTTTTGGATTTAGAAAATTTTTTAAAAATTTCTAGAAAATTTTTAAATTTTTTCAAAAAATTTTTTCAGCCTAAAAATAAATTTAAAAATTATTTCCCCCAAAAATGATGTTTATTAATCCACGTCATGTTGACGTTGATTGTTATGACGATGAAGAGGATACCGAAAAAGGAAAGCAACGAGGACGACAGAGAAGTTCGAGGGAAAGGGATGGATTTGAAAATGGATATTTACAAGTAAAATTTGAAAAAACAAAATTTTTTAAATTTTTATTTCAGCGTATAACCCTAATTCTTGTATGTATTTACTTGTTTATTTCAATATGTTTGGCTCTCTTCTATTATCCTTTGTTCGTTTTTTGAACTTTTTTTCTAAATTTTAAGCCTAATCTCATTTTTACATAGCTATATAGTAGAGATCGAGATTTTTGAAAAGCCGGGACCTGTTCCTGGACTCTGGGTTTGATTTATTGACCTGGGCCGGATCTGAGCCTGTAGTCCAGGAAAAACCCAGGTGCAGGAAAAATACAGGAGGGTCAAAAAATGCCTGGCATGGACTCTGGGTTCAGGAAAAACGCAGGCCTTGATTCAGACCCAGCTTCTCTACTATATAGGATACCCCCTTATGAGGTGAAAAATTCGTCTCCTATAAAGGGGTATCCTAAATAGAGGGTATATTTAGACTCTATTTAAAAGATGCTTATCTCAAAAAATGACTGCCCAATAGGAAAGGGATTACCCTCTATTTAAAACACACCTCATTATAAGTGACACTTTTTCGGCCCCAATGGAGTCTCCTATAGTGGGATTCGACTAAATAAAATTTTTATAGGTCAATTCTAAGTGTCGTTCCTTTTCCACTAATTGTTGTTACAGTAACTATATTTGCTGCTATGAATAGAAAAGGAGATGAAATTACTACTTTGTGGTTTTGTGCTATTGCCTCGGTTGGAAAAAATTTTTTTTTGAAAATTTTTGAAATTTTATTTTAATTTTAGGGGTTCGGAGCATTTGGAAAATTAGTTGCAATAATCGTCTTTTCAAGCATTTTTGGATTTACAAAGGGTGTAGAAGTTGAAAATAGGAGACGTGGAGGGATGCAGTCTGTGCCACACACACAGGAAGGTAAAAAAAACTGGGGTCTGAAGGAGCACTAGAGTCCCATATAGTAAAGCTGTGCCTCAGTGTACCTTGGAGTCTTAAATTGCACATTAGAGTCTCGGTTTGTTGTTTAAGTGACGATTTAAGACTTAGGCAATCCCGGAGAATCGTGGTCCCTGCGGAAAAAAATCTTAAAAATTAGAAAAAGGATTTTTCTAGGGTAAAAAATTATGCTGATTACGAATCTGAACTCAGATTTTGAAAAAGTCGAATCCCGAACCCAAAATTCGAACATTTGACATTTTTGGAAAAATTTCGAATGATAAACAGAGCGCAAATTGGTCAAATAATATCTCATTCGAAAGAGCTCGACGAGCTGAGTCAAATGACATCAAGATTAGCTTGCTCGTTCATGTTTGGACAAAGTTATGACACAAAAAACTTCGGCTTACGTTGTTTGTTTTTTGTGGTATAACTTCGGCCGATCTTGTTCAATCACGATGATTTTGGTGTCATTCGACTCAGCTTAAAGAGCTCTTTCGAAAGAGGTATAATTTGCATATTTGAATTTTTTACCCCAAAATCAGCTTGGTCCCCCCTATGGTTTTTCGATATTCGAGGACCTATATTCGAGTTCGGGATTCGACTTTTTCAAAATCTGAGTTCAGATTCGTAATCAGCATAATTTTTTACCCTAGAAAAATCCTTTTTCTAATTTTTAAAATTTTTTTCCGCGGGGACCACGATTCTCCGGGATTGCCAAGACTTAAATGTACAATTTAAGGCTACAATCTACAATGAGACCCAGCTGTACCTTCTGGGACTCTAGTGAACAGCAATAGACTCTAAAGTAAAGCCTAGACTCTAATGTCCCTGAATTTTTAAAAACCCAAAAATTCGAAAAATCTTTCCTCATTTCTTCAGAGGTGTCCAAAAACGAACTTTGGTTAACCCAATTCTTCATAGTCCTACTTGCAGCAGAAGCCTCAATAATGGTTACAATAATTTGTATAAGATGTAATTTTAGATTTTTCAAAAAATTTATGAGAATTTAAAATATTATTTTATTTTTTTAAAAGGTATAGCCAAAATTTTAAAATATTTTTTGAATAAAAAAAATAGACTGGCTAGACCTAAAAATTTTTTTTTAATTTACATCCCATTTTTATGAATTAATAAAAAATTCCTTTTTATAAATATAGTTGTAAGTGGAGATCGAAATTTTGTATCGTACCTTACCACCGATACTGAGAAACCGATAAACTACTGTCAGTAGTAACTTATTGTCCAGTCTCTAGTTGTGAAAAATTTTAAAAATTATTTTTAGAAAATTTATTAAAAAAATAACAAAATTCAAAAAAATAATTAAGAGATCAGTCATCAACTTAATTAATTATCCATATTTTGGAACATTTTGTAAACGTTCAAAATCCACCTGTTCAAAAACTATAGCTCCTTCATCACTTTCTTTAGGTCCCTCTTCCTTTTCTTCTCCCTTCTTTTCTTCTTCCGTCTTCTTTTCTTCTTGCCCTTCCCTTACTTCCCCCTCTTCCATCCGTTCTTCCTCCTCCTCTTCACCTTCCTTTTCTTTTGGAATTTCCACTACTGGAATTGTTGTGGTGGTTGTTGACGTCTCTTCTGTCGTCACTACTACTTCCATCACCTCCCCGTCCCCCTCCTCTTGTTCCTTTTCTAGTTGATTATTACGCCCCTTCATAATTTCAATATTGGCAGAATAAAATTCTGAAACAAAATGTGACATGTGTTGAGTGTCTATAATTTCTAGAGGCTGCTAAAAAAGAATTAAAGATTAAAAAAATTAATTTAAAAAATTAAAATTTGCCTTTTGTCGATTTTCGTTAGGGTAACCAAACTGTTCTGTAGGCAATAAAAGAAGACGAGTTGGTTTTTGGAGTAACTATAAAATAAAAAATCAGAATTTATTTAAAAATCAGAAAAAATACAGCAAAAATACAACCAGAATTATTAAAAACACGACCAGAATGAAACACGAAACACAACTAGCAAAACACGCAGAACAAAATCAGAATTAAATTCAAACATTCAACCCAGAATTGAAATCAGAACCAACAACACAAACAAAATCAGAATCAAAATAAAACACAACCAGAACATAAAAATGTTTTTAAAAACAAAATCAGAATTAAATTTAAACATTCAACACAGAATAGAAATCAGAATTACCTACAAAAACAAAATCAGAATTAAATTTAAACATTCAACACAGAATAGAAATCAGAATTACCTAGAAAAACAAAATCAGAATTTAATTTGAACATTCAACACAGAATAGAAATCAGAATTACCTACAAAAACAAAATCAGAATTAAATTTAAACATTCAACACAGAATAGAAATCAGAATTACCTAGAAAAACAAAATCAGAATTTAATTTGAACATTAACTCCAGAATAAAAAATCAGAATTATCAATATAAAACTATAAATCAGAAAAACACTAACCAAAAACACATAAAAACACAAACATAAAATCAGAATAAACAAAAAAATACAACCAAAACACAACAATTTTTAGAACAAAATCAGAAATAAATTTAAACACCTACCCTTTCAAAAGCAGGTGCAAGTTCATAACATTTTTTAAATAGCGAAACACGACAAAGAATATAAAGGCCAAGTCTAGCACGTGATAAAGCTACTACTAAACGTCGTACATCTCTTCAAAAAAATTTTTTTCAATATTTTATTAAAATTATAACAAAAAAGGCACCTTAAATGTCCAACTGCTCTAGTCCTCACAAGCGATAAAATTATGTAATCTAAAGAAAAAAAATAAATTGAGGAGATATAACAAAACCTCTATATAAGATACACCCCTTGGGGCTGAGAATTGTCGCTTATAATGAGGTATCTCTTAAATGGAGGGAGACCCTTCATTCAATAAGCAACCAAATTTTACAAGACGTCTCTTAAATAGAAGTGTACCTAATATCGGGTGTTTCTTATACTGAGAACAGTATCTTGTAATGAGTTCTCCTACATAGAAGGTGTCTCTTAAATGGAGGGTATTGTTTAAAAATCTCCCCCCACTCAATATCCAACCAAAATTTAAAGGATGTCTCCTAAATGGAGCTGTATCTAATATCGGGTGTTTCTTATATAAAGGTTTTTTAATAAAAACTTTATTTTTCCCTTACCATTCTGCTGTCCTTGGTATTTATCAACAGTAGAAATCTTTAAAAAAATTTAAAATTTAATTTTTAGTACCCCCCCCCCCTTAATTACTTTTCCAGGCATTCCAATTAAAGGATTATTTGTACACCTTTTATTTATTATATCACGTAATAAAGAAGCTTGTCCATTATAAGTTGTTAATATTGATATTTTTTCTGAAGGATAGCCTAAAATACGCATATAAACATACAAGGCTACGGCAAATTCTGCTTCTCCAAGATTCTTGAAAAATAAAAATTTAAATTTAATTATCAGCCCTCACTATAAGATACACTCAATATAAGATGAACCTCTATTTAAGAGACGTTAAAAATTAGACTTTATATCGAGTTGGGGAGCTGACTAAGGGATGCCTTCTATCTAAGTCTATTTAAGCACCGAGAGAGTCTCTTATAGTGAGATCCACACCTCTATTTAAGGGACGTTTTTAATTTGAATGGTCACTGGATGGGAAACCCTGTCTATCTAAGGTATATCCTCTATTTAAGATAAAGGAGTTTCTTAAAAGCCTCAAGGAAGTCTCTTATAGTGAGATCCCAAAGTGTTTTATTTTAAAAATAAATTTTCCCTCAAAAACATCCCCAAAACACACCTGATAAAAATAAGCACTTGGAGTACTTTCCCCAATTCCATTAAAATCGGGTACATTAATTAATTGATAATTATACAAAAATCCAGCATTTGTCAATTTAAATTCTTCATTTTCCAAAACATGTTTTAAATCACCCAAATTTTTATAACGCCAATTATATAAATTTGCCAATTCGGAACGGGCACGTCCTTGAGCATTTAATTGGATATGGGGGACACCTAGAAAAAGTGAAGTGAAGTTTTGAGAAATTTTTCGATTTTTTTTGAAGTTTATGGTCATCATCGGGATTTAGAAGGCTTCGTAACTGCTCATCTATTTACCAGCGCCTTCCTGATTAAAAAAAAGCTGACAGTTCCATGGTTCCGGGGTTCGTAGCGGAGTCCCAAATATTTAATGGCTCTTTGCATCCATAATCCCCTCAAACAAAAACTTTTAATAATTTTTGTCTGGTGCTGATTTGGACTTTTTAATTTCAAAAAAATCGAACAATTTTTTCGCTGGTTAAAAAGAAAAAAACTTGGAGAAGCCAAGATTCCATTAAACAAAAAAAACCATTCCAAAGAACCTTCATCTTTCCCTTACCTAATCGAATTAAACGAGCAAAAAGAGATTGTTCCATATTTGAATATTTTTGATAAGCAACATTTTGAACAATTGGGGGTAATTGGTGATTATCTCCAATCATAATCCAACGTTTTAGACGAGAACGGCCATCATGAGGGTCATGAAAAAAAAATTTTTTTAAAATGCATTAGAAAATTTTTTAAAAAATTCTCGAAGTGTCAAAACAAATTAATTTTCCAAATTTTTCAAGGTATCAAAAAATTAAAAATTTTTTCAAAAGGCTCATAATGGTCAGACTAAAAATAAAAAAGTGATCCCCCAAACATTCTTATAAAAAAGGCTCGATCCTTTTTATTAAAAATTTAAAAAAATTTTCCCTTTCTTACTTGTAAAAGTAAAGGAATAAAAGTTTCCACTTCCAATATTTGTGCAGCCTCTTCCATCAAAATATTATCATAACGAAATCCAAGTTCTACCAATTCACGACGACGTAAAGCTGCGTGAGTACAAGTCATTGCAATTATTTTACTTTCTTTTACCTTTAAAAATAATTTTTTGAAAGAAATTTCTTAGTGAGACATTTTGTTCCAAAAATAAAATTTTCCCTAAAAAAATTTGTTGAAAAAGGCTCATAATGGTCAGACCTCTCAAAAAATAATATTTTCAAGTTTTTTCTAAAAAATATTTTTTATTTTCACAAATATCGTGAAAAATAAGTCTCTGCCCTCCCTTAAAAATTTTTTAAAAATTAAATCAGACCCCTCAAAATAAATTATTTTTAAAAAAACCTCACTTACAAGTAAATAATCAGCTCTATCCCGTCCATTTCTTAATAATTCAAAAGCTCTAAATTCCTCTAATTTTTTGAAAATATCAACAATTCTATTCCATCCTTCCATTGCTACTTGTAAATCTTCATTAAAATTTTCTCTCTTAAAAAATTATTTAAAAAATTTTTAAATAAAAATTAAATTAAAAAATGCCCACTTGGGTCAAAAAACTTTTGTCTCTTATAATGAGGTGTACGTTAAATAGAATGTATCCCTTAAGAAGAGGGTATCGCTTACTCCGTTCCTTCTACACAGTGGCCTACCAAAATTTTTAAAAGGACGTCCCTCAAATAGAAGTGTACCTAATATTGGGTGTCTCTTATAAGGAGGTGTTCCACTATAAACTTATTTTACCTTAAATTCCAAAGGCAAAAAATTTTTCTTTTTTCCACTTTGAAAAAATTTTGTAAAGAGAAAATTATCAGCTACAAAATCTTTGGAAGGTAAAGGAACATTAGTTGAATTATCAGAATTATTATTTTCTTTAGCGTCATTTATAGCAGTCTGTTTTGCTTGTTCGATTAATTCAAGAAAATTTTCCCAAGTTTTACAGACCTAGAATTAATTTTTTTTAATTTTCTGGATTTTAAGATTCTTAGAAATTTGCAAAAATTCATAAAAAAATCTTCTAAATTTTTAATCCAATTTTTTGAATTTTCTATCAATGAGACATTTTGTCCCAACTTGAGAGTAACCTCAAAAATTCAAAAAAATAAGAATTCCGATTTAGAAAAAATAATTACTATCATATGTCTAGCCGTTATATCCAGAAAAAAATTCCAAAAAAATCTTTTAAAAAAATTTTTTAAGTAACAATTTTTCCTCTCATGAGACATTTTGTCCCAAAGAAGGAAAAATTAAAAAAATTTTTTTTGGGACAACCAAACCATTTTTAAAAAATTCCACTCAAAAAACTTACAGAATATCTAAAAAAATATCCAGCAGTTTCACAAGAATAAGAAACATCCCCAACTTCTTCCATAGATTCACAAAGTTTTTCTACACGTTCAAGTAAACGTTTACGTTCAGCTAAAACATAATTGACTCTTCCATAACGGCTAAAATCTTTGTCTGTTTCTAAAGCTTCTTCTCCATGACCTGGAAGAAAAAAATTTTATTTAGGAATTTTGACTTAAAAATAAGCTCGGTTTTAAGGACATGATCCAAAAACAGACGTTACAAACTAAAGAGAATCAAACAAAAAAATATTTAGGAGACACATACATTTCAATAAGACTTTCAAGACTAGGGGTGCCGGTTTCACCAAATTCTTCAGTTAACTGAAACCGAACCGAAGCTTTCGGTTAACCGAACCAAAAATCTTCAGTTTTTTTCGGTTCGGTTTGAAACCAACAACCCTGCTCATGCCCTCAGGTTACTCGGAAGCAAATTCCAATCCGAAGCAAATTGTGAAAATCCCTACTTTTTCTTAATCTAATCCATTTCTGATTTGTGTCGTACAATTGGACCTAAAGGTACTTTCAAAAAAATTTTTTTCATCAACCCAAACCCAATAACTTTCAAAAAAATCAAAAGAATACCCATTCTCAATAAATGCCTTTCATCAACATCCAAACAAATAATTTTTTCAAAAATTTGATTTAAAGCTTGATTTGAATGTGTAACAATTAAAGTTCGTTGTTCTGGCCAGTTGTGATAAATATTTGAAATTATTTGGACAGCAACGTCTGTTTTGCCTGTTCCGGGAGGGCCGACAACGAGTGTTAAACCTGGCTGCATTCCTGATTTTATTGCTTCTATCTAAAAAGAACTTTTTTGTGTTGGTGAAAGTAAAAAGGAATTAGTAATAAATGTCAAAAATATCCGAAAAAATTTTTGAGAAAATTCTAAAAAATTTTAGTAAATTTCAGAAAAAATTTTTTTTCAAAAGGCTCATAATGGTCAAACTAAATCTGCCGAAGAAATTTTTTTTTAATTTTTCAAGTAAATTTTTTACCGCCTAATTGTTCTTGAAAAGACGCATAATGGTCAGAAAGACTTGGCAATGGATACGGATAGGTTAAAAATGCCTGTGGGTATTCGTCTGTATCCGCCGTAAATACATGGATAGGGATACCGAATCCAAGTCCATTATCAAATTTGGGACTGACTAAAATGTCAGTAAAAAATTTATAATTTTCCAAAAAATTCAAAAAAAAATTTTTCATCTCAAAAATTAAACCTGTAACGGCGTAAATTCAATATTATTCTTTTGATAAGTTTCTGTCAATATTCTATTAAATACTTTCTGATTTTCTACAATTATTGAAGTATCACGTTCTTCTTCCTTTTCAATATTGTGTTGAGGGACAAATTCTTTGAAAGTTAATCTTTAAAAAATTAAAAAATCTTTTAAATAAATTAAATTAAAAAAAAACCTGAAAGGAGGTTTAGGCACAGTTTCTTCACAACTTATTTTTTTATTTGGAAATGATTTTTGTAAATGTTCAAAGGATAGGAAGGTGTCGTTAAAATCGACTGTTGCAACTGTATTTGTAATTCTAAAAAAATTAAAAAATATTTTTTAAATATATTTTTTTCTACAAGAAATTTTTGGTATAAAATTTAAAAAAAAATTCTTTAATTTAAAAAATTTTCCGAATTTTTTGAACTTTAATTTAAGGCTTTCTATAAAATTGAAAAATTTCCTGAAAAAAGACTGCAAATTTTCAAAGTTTCAGTTCTTGAAATTTAATTAGCTAATTCTTGAAAGAATATTATTGTCAAAAATTCAAAAAAATCTAGGCTTAAAAATAGACTACTAACAAGCTCCCAATTTTATCATAATTAAAGCGCTTAAGTTAGTACATTGAATATTCTGATTTGTATTTTTTTAATTTCTTAACTTTTAAATTTAAATTTTTTTATATTTTTTTTTATATTTTAAAAAGAAAAAATATTTTTATAAAAAAATTCCCTCCCCCTCTCTTCAAACCTTGAATAATGTGCAATATCAGGCTCTCCATAACCCAATATTAAATCTAATAACCAATCTGGGACAACACATTCAGTATTTAATAATTGCCTTATTGTTGCCAAAACAGATTTAAAATTATTCGATTTTGGGTCTCTTCGAATTACTAAATTAAAAGAAAAATAAATATCTTCAATATTTCCATTATCAGAATCTTCTTTGTATTGGTTTGGATCAAAACGGATTCGAAATGTCCGCAAATCACCTTCCATTTTGCGGATAGCTTCTCGGCTTTCTGAAAAGAATAAATGTGTTTTACTTTAAATTCAGATTTGTGTTTTGTTTGTATTTTCCCTAAATTCTGATTTGCAATTAATTTAAATTCTGATTTACAATTAATTTAAATTCTGATGTTTTTATAAAATTCTGGTTTGTGTTTTGTTTGTATTTTCTCTAAATTCTGGTTTGTGTTTTGTTTGTATTTTCCTTAAATTCTGATTTGTGTTTCGTTTGTATTTTCCCTAAATTCTGGTTTTCAATTAATTTAAATTCTGATGTGTTTTTATAAAATTCTGATTCCCTTTAATAAAAATTCTGGTTTGTATATTTGTATTTTTGTTTAAATTCTGATTTTGTATTTTTATTTAAATTCTGATTTAGTGCTTGTATTTTCCTAAAATTCTGATGTGTTTTTATTTAAATTCTGTTTTTGTATTTTCTTTGTATTTTAACTAAATTCTGATTGTATTTCACTATCAAAACTTGTGTTTTCTCTCTTTAATATTCCCAACTTTAATTCCCCCAGAAATACAAAAAACACAAACCCATTTCATCAAGTATTTTTCCCTCAGCCGTCAAAATTCCTTCAACTTCACACCCTCTAACTATACAAATTCCAAATTGTTCTTTAAATGGGCGTCGAAAATCAAATTTATAGCCAACTTTTTGTATAGGTTTAACTTTAAGTAAAAAAAGAACATCATTTTTTCGAAGAGACATCCAATCTTGACGCAAATCTTCTCTTGAAGGTAAAGTTATTTGGAGATCTGCACGAACTTCGGAAGGAGCAGACTTAAAAAAAAGATTATTCTTTATTTTTAAATTAAAAAATTTCTAAAAAAATTTTTAAGAAATTTGTTTTAAATTTTAAAACTTCAAAAAATTTTTCTAACTCCAAAAATTCAAAAAAAAAATTTTCAAAAAATTCTTAAATCCAAAAAAATTTTTATTTTAAAGGATTTTTAAAAAAAAGGTAAAAAATTAAAAAAAAAATTCCAAAAAATTTTTTTAACAATTTAAAAAACCATAAAAAATTTTTTCCTCAAACCTCTCCAACCAAAGGCCTTCCAACATGCACAATTCTACAACTAGTAACTGGGAGTGCCATTTTTGCCCAACCACCCCAAACAACATCAGATTCATTAAATTCGTGTTTCCAAGGTTTCATTCGAAACATAACATCTTCCAAATCGAGACGAATTTCATCTTTAATTAAAATTTAATTTTCTTAAAAATTTTTAAAAAATTAAAAAACATGTCGATTCCATTCTAAAAAGATTAAAATTTCTAAGTAAATAATCATGTGTTGTTAAAAATTGTAAATTTAATTTGTTTAAAGGAAGAACACTTTTACCATCATAATGATCATATGGAATTAACTAGAAAAAAAATATTTTTTAATTTAAATAAAAAAATATTTAAATTAATAAAAATAAAATTAAAAAAAATATCCAAAATTCCCGTAGTTGATTGAACAAAAATTTTTTTTATTTTAGTCCAACAACCAAAAAAATATTCGAATATTTTTTTCTCGGAAGAATTATCGTCTATAAAAAGTTATTATTGATAAAGCATCCAATTATAGTATATGGACATAAAATATGGATAATGCCAAAATATGGATGTTAAAGAACATTCTAAAAACCCTAAAACAAGCCAAAAACATGTTTTTCGTACTTTCAATTTCAAATTTCAAAAATTTCAAAATTCAAAATGATTCATCAATTCCAAAAAAATATGGATTTCCATATAATTAGAAGCCTAATTATTAATACAACAATTTTCCCTCAATTTATACAAAAAAACATTGTCAAATATTCAAATTTTGAATAAATAAACCAAGCCCATATGTTCTAAATTAATAAGCTCAAATCAGATACAAAACTAAAACAATGATACCTCATAAACCAAAATTCCACTAAAAATAAAAATTCACACAATTCAAAGCCAAAACATTTTTAGACTTAAAAACCTAACAAAATATTTAAAAAAAAACAAACCTTTTCATCCCAAATCACTTTTTCACTAGGATAAAGAGGTTCAGCATTTAAGCGTTGCAATTGTGAAGGTCTACGTTCACAAACAAAAATTATAGCTTCAATTAAGTAATTTGGATCATCATAACGACAATAATTTTCAACTAAATTTTCATCCTTTTCACTCAATGAAGGGACCAAATTTAAAAATTCTGCAAGTTTGTAGAGGTCATCACAACTTAAAAAAATTTTTTTTCCTCAAAAAAGCCTACAAAAAATTTCCTAAAAAACCTTAAAGAGCCAAGTTGTTCACGCAAAAATTTACTAGAATCAACAGATCCAACTGGTAACAAACAAAATTCAGCCAATTTTTCATTTAGAAATTTGAACGCGGCAGCTTGTAATTGAGAAACAAATTCATAATGTCGTTTGGTTACCTTTCGAAAAAAAATTATTTAAAAAAATAAAAAAAGGTACTTGTAAAGAGTAGAAGGCCAGTAATTGAGGACAATCCCGGAAGCTAGCCGAGACGATTCCCGAAATTGGGAAATTACTTTTTTATTGAATAAACCCTGATATATACCAAGAAACAGGCCAATAACAAGAATTTTCCCCATTGCCCCCCCCCCCCTTCCCGCAAAAAATCCTGGTTAAGGGTCTGCCAGAAAGAATAAATTACCGATTTTGAAAATCGGGTCGGCTAGCTGATGTGAGAAATGTCTTAAGGACTTCTTTCAATGTCTTGAGGACTAGCTGGGCAATATCTTAAAGGACTTCTTTCCCTTCTTCGTCAATTTTTAAAAATTCCCCACACACTGTCTCGATTAATTTATAGCAACACAAACCCACAAAAATAAAGAAAAAATGACCAGGCCAACCAAACTTTACAGGTCCTTAAATTAAAATAAAAACCTCAGCCTGTAGCAATTGTTGTCCACTAAGTTCATCAATTTCAAAACGAGCATAAAATTTAAGCATTGAAAAAAGCTCACAAAAGAGAGAGCCATGCTCTGAACGGATAAATTGGGAAAGACAACAATGGGTGAGTATATGGCTTGAATGGAGCAAAGAATTGAAGAAACGTCTAAAAATGATTGAATTGAAAAAAAATTTATAAAAATATTAAAGAAACCTGGTAGTCAATTGAGCTTCTAAATCTATTAAAAAAGAGAGAAGGCGTTCGCAATATGTGACGGCGTCAATTTCCAAATCTGGGGAGAAAAAAAATTTTTTTAATTTAAAAAATGATTGGAAAATAAAAAATCTGATGGAAACCCAAGTAAAAAATTGCTCATTCAGAAGCAAAAGTCAAAAGTAGTGAGCGACAACATCGTATTTTAGGGTCCCGCAACCGGGATATTTCTAAAATAATTCGCAACGGGATCCCTAGGAATAAATCCAGTCTATCAAAAAACATAGGAGTTACAAACGCAGAATCATGGCGCGGAACATGTTTTGCCCTCAGGCATTTTTTTGATTGGACGGAACAGCAACAAAATGATCATTAGACTCGACTCTCAAAGATGAATCGAATTATTGTCGACCGGACTAATTTCAAAATTTGCGGACTAATTTTGAATAGAGCTAGGAATTTTGAAAAAACCGGGACCGGGTCCGGGAAACGGGTTCTGAAAAATGGACCGGGCGGGAACCGGGTCCGGGAAACCGGGAAAACCCGTTCCCGGTTTCAACCCGGTCAAAAATGACCGGGTCCCGGCCGGGAAACCGGGAAATTTTTAATTTGTTGAAATGGAGGTCTATTTTTCCACATAGGGCTGTATTTTTCATCTATCCTCCTATACTTATTCTAAATAACCTCTATTAATGTAAGTGAATGCCATTCACGATTATTTAACTCAAGATCAAATTCCCTTTTCTGAAAAATACGTTCATCGACTGCTGCCTTTTGTTCTTTCGTACTTGGGATTAATGAAAAAATTCAAAGAAATATGTACTACATATGTTTAAATTCTTTCTAAAGCCCTTATATGTTGGCCGAGTGGTTGTTATGTGTTAGTTCCTTCAGAATGTTAGTTCCTTTTAATTCCTTCAGAATCCTTAGATATCCCTTTTAATTCTTTTTAATCTTATCGAACTAAAAATTCTTTGCACCATTTTTTGCGCCGTAGGCAAAAATTTTGAGAATTTTGATAGGCCTTAGCAGAAAAGAATTCAATTGTCAGAGCTGCCGGCGAAAAAATTTTTCGAAGTTTAGATGTAATGAAGCCAAACTCTTAAATTTTCTGCGCCACAGCGAAAATTTTGGAAAATTCATGATTTAATTGAAATTTCTAATATTTTTTCAAAATTAAAACAGTAAAAAAATTTTCAAATTTGAAATCAAAGTTTAAAATTATTTATTTTTGAAAAGAAAATTTCTCAGCCCCATTTCCATACATGGACTCGAACACAATCCCTATCAAAATAACTAGATGAGTGAAGTCAGTCAACTTAACCACTCAACCATCGACCAACAAAAGCAAAATGGAGAAATTATAAATATTCCTTTCCCTTTTCCTTCAAAAATTTAATATCAAAGTACGCAAATACACTAAATATTTTTCCCGGTTTCCCGGTGAAAAAAAAGCCGGGACCGGGTCCGGGTAACGGGTTTTGAAAAATGGACCGGGCGGGAACCGGGTCCGGGAAACCGGGAAAACCCGTTCCCGGTTTCAACCCGGTTGCTTCAAAAAAACCGGGAAAAGGGACCCGGAAACCGGGAAACGGGTCCGGGTCCCGGACCCGTTCCTAGCTCTAATTTTGAAGTGAATAAGTTTGCTACTAAAATTAAAAAATACCCTTGCTTTCATCATCAATAAAATCCACAGTTCGTTTTAATCTTTGTAATAATCTCCAAAGCAGACGACGTGAAAAATCAATTTTTTCGAATTCCTCAGGAGGTAATTGTTGAAATTTTTGTTCCATTTTGACCCAATATTTTTTAAGTTTTGGATTTTTTTCGAATAGGGAGTTACGTTGAGACTAAAATTTAAAGGTTAAAGAAAAAATTTTGAAAAAAAGATGGTTATTTTTGGATCTAGAAACATTATTTGGGTTGAAAACCTAAGGAAACTGGATCTGATACAATAATGCTCAAGGCTACTCGAAAGACGAAAATTTTCAACCCGAAACCCGATCCGAAAAATAGTTTGAACCCCGACCCGACCTTTTCTAAATCCGTCGCATCCCTGGTTTGTAAATGTCCATTAGCTTATTGCTGCCTTTTTTTGCTCTAGAAACATCGTTCGGTTTCAAGAGCTGAGCAAACAAGGTTTGGAACTATCCGTTAACCTTATTGTTGCTTTCTTTAAAATTGCCAGATCCCGGTGAAAAAGGTTCTGAAGCCTAAGGCTGTCAGGAAATAAAAAATAACCTATTCATACAACAAAAAATGAAAGTGAGAAATGGGGGGTAAACAACACTGACTCCCAAAAAAGTCAAAAAAATAAAAACTAACCGGCAACAAATTAACCAAAATAGGCAAAGAACACAATTTCCCAACTTCTTGTCTAACAAAATCCACTTCTAACGAATTAAAACAATAATTCAAAAAAGTAATAAGATGTATTTGAACAGAATAACCCAAATTCTCGTCACAAATCATTTTTAAAATTTTTTCAAAAAATTCAGGAAAATGTTGAGAATTTAAAGAAATTATTTCCCAAGCAGGTAAACGTTCACGCAATTTTTCGTTTATCATTAAAACTAGTGGAAGTAGTGAAGATTGTTGTTGTTTTTCTGGTGTATAGTTGGGCCAAGCTATGTGAAGTTCATTTTCTTCTTCGTTGTCGTTGTAAAAGGACATTTTTTTGGTTAAAATTTAATTTTATCTGGAAATTTTATAAAAAAAATTTTAATAGTTAAATACAAAATTAAAAGAAAATTTCTACTTGAAAAAAAAATTTTTTAGCCCAATTTAAAAAAGATTAGAAAACCTCCCAAAAATCATATACCCATAAAACGTCTCCCTCACATTTTGCCAATAAGGCTAAAAATCTACATTTTGTCACTAAGCTTGTTGACAAAACACAAATTTTTTGCCTTATTGGCAAAATGTGGATTGGCTAAATATTAAGAATAAAACGCTTTAGACAAAGAAAATGAGTGAAAGAAAGAGAAAGAGAAGGTAAAAATAGTGAAGACAGAGAAAGAAATTAAATAATAATTTTGGGATAAAGTGTCATTTATTTTATTTAACAGGGCAAAATGCCAAAATAAATTAAAATTAAATTTGTTCGCTATTGCATTGGAATCTAGCCATGTTTTAATCAATTTCAAGCCAAATTTTGTTCAATTTCACTCATTTTTTTCATTTTTCAAGATGACAGATTATTGGAAATCTTATTCTAAAAAGTTTTGCGAGATTTGCAAGGTTATTTTTAATGTTTCTAAATTTAAATTAACTTTATTCATCCAAGGTTTGGTATGCCGACAACAAAATAAGCTCGGAAAGGCATGAAACTGGGGCTAAACATAAAGTTATGGTGCAACAAAGGTTGAGAGAAAGTGCTAAAAAGGCGAAGGATAAGGAGCTTAAGGTATGTTTTGTTATATTTTAGAGTCCTCCACATTTTTCCCATCCTCAAAAGTACCCAGGGGATAGTCCGCAAAAAAATAAATTTAAAAAAATAAAAGAAAAAATTTTAATTGACTACAGCTCTGCTAAACAACCAGATTTAGCTAGCGTTCAAAAAGCTCGTCTGGTACAGCTTTTTAAACAAGCGAAGGCATTTAAAAATTTGCGTACAACGACCTGATTGTGAGTTGACTGGTATATAGACTAGGTGGATCTGATAATTTTAAGAATTTGCGGACAAAGAATTTGTCCGCAAAAATAGTCCGCAAAAGTTGTCCGCAAAAATAGTCCGCAAAAATGAAAAATTTGTCCTTAAATATTTTTCCCTATCATTTTTGAATTTTCTCATAATTTTAGGATCACGATTTAAGAATGACTATTCTGGCAATGGAACAAGCAGCAAAATCGAGCATGTCTTCAAAAAGTCAAAAAAGTGTGCCTAGTTTGCCTGAAGAAATTAATGAAGGTGTTGTCTCTTCATGCTCTGCACAATCTTTAGAGAAAGTAGATTTGAGGGGAGAAATACGTGAACAAAAACGAAAGGTTCAGTAAATTTTTTATGAGATTTTAAATAAATTTGCGGACATCCGCAAATTTTTTGCGGACAAAACAAATTTTTTGCGGACATCCGCAAATTTTGTCCGCAAAATTTTTGCGGACGTCCGCAAATTTCCGAATTCTTAAAATTATTTTTTTAGCTGGATGAATTAAAGAAAAGTGCAAAACAATCCCAATTTTGGGTTGATGACCAACCCGAAGAGGTAGAGAAAATAGAAAGTGATGAAGTTGATGGTGTTCTTTGCTGGGTTCAGGGAGAATCGGCTACAGGATTGCGTAATTATTGGCATATATTTTCTGGAGGTTTTATTTTATATGTTAAATGTCCTTGGAATTTTTTGGGATTTTTAGAAATTTCTATATAATTTTTTAGAAAAAATTTCAAATTTTTTTTTGCGGACAAAATTTGCGGATGTCCGAAAACTTGCGGACATCCGCAAATTTTTTGCGGACATTCCTATAATTTTCTTGGAATGGCCTTAGATTTTATTTGTCCTTGAATGCCCCCAAAATTCTTTATTTTCCTTAAATTTCCCTTTTTTTATTCTTCATTTTATTTCTAGAAACTCGCTGGGACCAACCCAAAAGGTTTTACACAGCTGAAGAATATGCTGAAAATTACACTGAAATAGCTGCAAAAATAGCAGCCAAAAATCATTCTTTAATTAATTCTGAACATGTTTCTAATAATTTTGAAAGGACTCAGGTCTGTTTTGAATAAAATAAAAAATTAGAAAAAAAAATTTTTAAAGGTGATACCTCCCAATTCAGCTCCCCAATTATCTGCTAAATTAAATAGTAAAGTACCTACACCTATTGAGCGTCCAAAAAAGGATCAGAAGGATTATTTAAAGAAGGAAAGAAAAAGAAGATGGGACAATAATGAAGGTTAAAAAAATTTTTTTTTGAAAAATAAATTTTTTTGAAATTTTTTAAAAATTTTTTTTGAAATTTTTGGAAATTTTTTGAAAATTTTCAAAAAATTTTTTTTTGAAAAAATAAATTTTTTGTTTTTAAGAATCCAAACGACCCGAAGAATTAATTAGAATAGAGCCAAAACCAGAATTAATTGAATCAACTCAAATTGATGTTACTAGTACTGGTGGACATCCTTATGGACCTTGGGTACCTGTAAAGAAAGAAATTCCAAAACCAGAGTAAGTTTACTTAATTTTTTTAAATCCAAAATCCTTTGGAGAGGACTGGGATCGGTGTTCCAACATATAATCTTTTTTGCCCAAAAAATTAAAAAAAAATTTTTTGTTAAAAATTTTTAGCAGCTTTTCTAAACATCCGATGACTTTGTGCGTTTAAAGAGCTGTAATTGAGAAGCTTTTCTAACGCTAGTTAAATTTGGTTGTTTAGCAGAGCTGTAGTTAATTAAAATGTTTTTCGTTAATTTAATTTATTTTTTTCTCTCTTAGCCCTCCAAAAGAACCAGAAAAACCTAAAAAGCGTTATGACGATTTACCTGAACAGCATTACGGACCCGGTACTTCAACTATAATACCAGAAGAACTTTTAGAAGTTGCTTTAATCGATCCAGAAGAATTGTCATTTAAACAAAAACAAATGCCAGAAAAAAAGAAGAATGTTAAAAATATTGTTGGGTTTAGAAAACCTGCTGGAGGGGTAGGGAATAAATCTTTTAGAAAAAATATAAAATAAGAATTGAATTTTGTAAATATTTTTCATATTGATAAAAAATTAATTTTTTTATTACCAGAAAACAAAACTTAGGTAACTATTAAGTAGAGTTGGACAAGTCGATATCGATATGTCAATCTTGGATATCGGTCTTTTTTCTGTATCGATATCGTTTTCATCCGATATCGATCTCGAAACCGATACGAGAATATCGCCCCAAATATTGACCGATATCTACTATTAAGCATCGAATCCGAGCCCTACTTCTCTCTAGTTACGTCCTTGATGGCAGTTTATAGGGAGAGATTCAGTGAATTTCGTTACTAGTTATTACGACAGTCGAGCCTAGAAGCATTTTATAGGGGGAGACGCTTCGATAATACGTCATCCTCAGCAGGCCCGTAGCCAGGATTTTTTTCGGGGGGGGGGGGGGGGGGGAATTTTTTGCGCCAAATTTTTGGCGCCGAAGGCGCCAAAAATTTTTATTTTCAGCGCCGCAGGCGAAAATTTTTTAAATTTCAGAGGCCGTAGGCCGAAAAAATTCACTTTTTTTGCCCCAGCCCTTCCCCAAATTTTTTCCTTTTTCCCATTTCGGGGGGGGGGGGGGGGGGGGGGAATTCCCCCCCCCTGGCTACGGGCCTGATCCTCAGTACTGAACTAACATTACCAAATTAATTTGACGTGTGAACGAAAGTTCATACGTCTGCTAGGGTTTTGATTGCTGTGAATTTTTTTGGCTTATTAGAGAATGTATATTATTTATTTAAAGCATTTTTCAATGATAACTAAAATATAATTTAATAAATGTTTTTAGTAATTCCATCCAAAGTAGCTTTAAATATTGCAACATCATTCTTTTCCAAAGTAATGTTGTAAACTGTAGAGGGAGAGAAATGCCCCAAGTTTGTACCCTTCCATAATTCTTGGACTGAATATCCAGCTTTATTTGTAAGGCCAATAGATTTAAGATCGGTGGTGAATTGCTGTGGGATTTTTTTTTAATTTTGGCATTTTGAAATTTTTTTAATTTTTTGACATTTTGAAAAAATTTTTAATTTTTCGACATTTTGAAAATTTTTTAATTTTTCGACATTTTGAAAATTTTTTAATTTTTCGACATTTTGAAAATTTTTTAATTTTTCGACATTTTGAAAATTTTTTAATTTTTCGACATTTTGAAATTTTTTTTAATTTTTCGACATTTTGAAAAATTTTTTGCATTTTGAAAATTTTTAAAAATTTCGTTATTTTGAAAAATTTTTTTAAATTAGACTAACCACTGGATTTGTCCCATAATTAAGTACAGCGACAGCATACGAATATAAATTACGAGAGGGTATTGCGGGTGTCATCTCCTTCACAAAAACATAAACTGATTTTTCCTAAGAAATATTTTTATTCTTAAAATATTTTTTAGTTCCCCCACGTTGTAAACCATCCTTCCAAAAATTCCCAAAGGGTCTTGGTCAACAGCTATAATTCTTGGATTTAACAAAATTTCACGATGTTCAGGCAATAACGTTCTTAGATCGTTTGACATTATTAAAGGTGCTGACCATATTGCCCAAATAGCCATTTGTACGCGTGATTGTGCTACTGTTATTTCTGTGTTGCCAACAATAATCTTTTTGAGAAAATTTTTAAAAAAAAAATTCTAGAAATTTGAGGAGCTCTTCTAAACAACCAGTGATTTCGTTTGTTTAAAAAGCTGTAATGAAGGAGCTTTTCTAACACTAGTTAAATCTGGTTGTTTAGCAAAGCTGTATTTAATTACCATGTCTGGGTCATTCCAACGCCCTGGTCCTTGAGCCTTTCGATAAATATCTTGATATTTGATGTAGAAATCGATAGTTTCTTAAAATTATAAGAAAATTGCCCAATTAAAATTTTTTTTGAAAATTTCAGAAATTTCAAAAAAATTCCTCTCCAACTCACACACTTAAAATTGAAGTCCATGAACGTTCAATATCATCAAAGTTTCTCCATAGGTTACAATTTTCCCCAATTAATGTGTAATTGATATCCTTCTGTTGATGACTAAATAATAAATAAGCTGGCCAGGAGCATGAATAAACAATAGGGCGGCCAGTTTTGTTCAACTCCTGACCCATTGCCATATAACCTTTATAATTTAAATTATTTTAAAAATAAAATTCAGTCATTTGATATTTTTAAAATACTGTCGGATCTCATTTTTGGATACTTCTTTTTTTAGAAAAAATTTTTTAAAATTTTTGGTCAGAAATTTGAGCAGCTTTTCTAAACATCCATTGACTTTGTGTGTTTAAAAAGCTGTAACAGTTTTCCCACCCAATAGAAAATCTGTCCCCAATCCAGTGGCCTCGCAAATTTTCAAGAGTGTCTCTTAAATAGAGGTGTATTGGATGTATCTTATAATGAAGTATGATTGTACTCATAAACAGATAGAAGGTTACCATTTATCACCTTGTTTAGCCATAAGAGAAGCATTCAAATTACACCCATCCAACTTGAGATAGTCCACCTTCCAATCAGCAAAAGAGGTTGCATCCTCCTTCAAATGCCCCCAAGTCCCTGGGTATCCTTCACATGTAGCAGTTCCAATGTCTTCATAAATTCCTAATTTTAGACCCTTTGAATGCATCTAAAGGAGCATTCAAAAAAATTTTTTTAAAGTAAATTTAATTAACATAATCTGCCAATGCCCCCATTCCCGAAGCAAAGCGTTTATCATCCGCTAACAAGCGCCCTTTACTGTCTCGTTTTCGTTGCATCCAGCAGTCGTCTATGTGGACTGAAACATAGCCTGCATCGCGGAAGCCATCCTCTACCATTCTATCGGCCATATCCTGGGAAGAATAAATTCTAGATTAAAATTTTTTTTCAAAAAAATTTTTCAGACTTTATAAAGCCTCTCATTTATGCAACTAAAAGGGTGATGAGCACAGTCAATCTCACAGTAAAACTTTGTCCAAGACATCCAACCCATTGGAGGAGTTCGTGCTAAACCATTGTCTAGGGCATTAATAATAGTTAAAAAAGGAAGTAATATTAAATTTAATATTTTAAAAATATTTTTTGGTTGCATTTTTACCTTAAAATATATTTAATGAACTAATTATAGATAAGAGAAGACAAAATGTAAAAGTAAATTTCATAAAGGGTGTAATTTTAGTTGTTTTTCTGTCAGGTATTTAAATCACAGAATTTTTGGTTGATGCTGGGATAATTTCCGGCAAGAAATATAATTCAGAAATAATTGGGAAAATAAATTCTGAATAAATTCTGGTTTATTTCCGGAAAAGAAATTTAGAGTTATTTTCCGGAAAATACATATACAGAACTACTATATAATGCTACTTGGATTATCGATTGATTCTCTCTTCTTCTTCAAAAAGGCATAGGCTTTTGTTCAAAGCCTTTCCTTCGTCCACGTGACTCGCACGCGCACCCAGCCAAAACCTTTTGAAGGGTTTTTTTCCAAGTCATTTTCCCAGCCAGACCAAAACCTTGTGAAGGTTTTTGCGGTAAATTTTTTTTCCCAGCCAAACCAAAACCTATTGAAGGGTTTTTTTTCCAAAACCTATTAAAATTATTTTTAAAATTAATTTTCCACCAGCGGAGTCGAACCACCATCCATCAGCCTGTAGGCGGACGCCTTATCCATTCGCACACACGCGAGCTTTAATAGCTATGAAATAAAATTGAATATATGTCGGCTGGTTTCCTTCTCTCTTCAACCAGCTTCAACGGCAAAATTTATTATCGATCGAATCGCCCCCTAAACGCCCACTAGGAGAAAATAGAAAAATAAACAAAGGAGATAGTGTGTTGAATAAAGAGAGACTGCACTGACTCAACCTGGTTGAGTCAGTGCATGTTCTCTAACCCACCCTCCTCCCAGTGCGAAAATTTATTATCGATCGAATCGCCCCCAAATACCTACTAGAAGAAAATAGAAAGAGGAGAGAAGAAGATAGTGTGTTGAATAAGGAGAGACAGCACTGACTCAACCTACCCTGACGGCTGAGTCAGTGCATGTTCTCTAACCCAGTGGTTAGAGAAAAGGGAAATAGTGTGGCAGCGGGATGGCTGTCACAAACTACAGCCACCCAGCTGCGGGGAAAGAGAGTGAGTGTACTCTCTAGGGAAAGTACACTCTCTCTTCTCTTATTTTTCTATTTTTCCTGTTGTCTTGTTAGACATTTAGGCAGAATAAAAAAGAGAAGAAGAAGAGTGAAATAGTGTGTAAAAGCGAAGAGTCTAGAGTCTGGCTGATCTGTGAGTTGGTATAATTATGTTAAAACAAAGGCGCAAATCAGCTTTCATGGGAGAGTAATTCTCCCCAGCTGAAAAATAAAAATAAGCGATTCCACCCGTGTTTGGGTGAATTTTATCGCTAAAATTGAGTGTAACAGCCGCGGTAATTCCAGCTCTGCTAATGCATAAAGATATTCGTGAAGCGAAAAAGCTACTAAAAAACGACTAAGTTAAGTCTCGTGTAATGGAAAATCGAGACTCGAGGCCAAAATTCGAGACTCGATATTTTTGGCCCCGGCCTCGACATGTCCTAAATTACTCATTTTTCATTTTTTGTCGCGTTCACAATCTATTTTTCATTATTTTGTCGCGTTCACATTTTTTACCTCGTCATTGTATTTTTTCTAAATTTTTTTTTGTTTTTCAGATAATATTTATTAATATTCTAATAATATTTATTAATATTACAACAATGAATTCTAACAACCGACGAAATGCAATCGACATCGACAGTGAATTTCCTCGACAACGCCCGCGACAGGAGGTAAATCTACGATTTACTTAGTTGGGGATAAGCTAGGTTAACTAGGTAACTACACAAACTGACAAGCTAATCTGATATACATGAATTTTAATTGAAAACACAGCTTTTTATCCAAATTAATATAATGTTAATTCAAGCAATTTAATTTTAACTTAATTTATTTCTAATTGAATTTTACTTTAACTGAATTTTATGGGAATTTAATCGAATTTTAATAAACATGAATTTAATTTTAACCTTAATTTTATATAATTTTCAATGAATTTAAGTCAATTTAATTTAATTTTATTATATTCTTTCGAAACCGAATTTTTCTTAATCAACATTAATTTGATTTAAATGAATGAACCTAATTTAATAGAATTTTAATTTAATTGAATATAATTTTTAATGAACTGTAATTGTGTTTTATCTTAACTAAATCGTACTTTAATCAAATTTTATTTAATTTTAATGAATGAACCTAATTTAATAGAATTTTAATTTAATCTAATTTAATATAATTTAATAGAATTTTAATTTAATCTAATTTTAATCTAATTTAATTAATTATAATCTTTCGCAAAAGAATTTAATACAAACATATTTACTAAGGTCGGGTCCTACTTAACCTGAATCCACTTATCCCCAACTAAGATTCAAATTTAGGAATACTTCACAATCGAGTCATCTGAGCCGTTTGCATCAACATCACGCAACACAAGGGGCGAAGTGTGCACCATCCGATTCCGCCCGCTGGAGGAAAATGCACGTCCGGACTTGGCCATGTCCGACGTTGTTTCGCACCTTATGGACCGTGTATTGGCGGGGCGCCCTGAGCCTCTGCTTGTGGGCTTGCAGGTGCATCCACCAAACTTCCATCACCCGTTCACGCTCCCACTACGACCATTGGCTCAGAACAATCCATCAGCGCTAGCAGCAGCAATCGAACGGCTGAATGAAATCTCCCAGGCCGGGATTGATCTTCTGAGCGGGACAACAACAACAAAAGTGGTGGCTGTCTGGCCACTGGGAGCACAACGGACAGACAATCCAGCTGACACTAGCGGTGAGTAACAGTTTTAATGTACATTTATTTTGTAACATATTGCTGTTACTCAAGGTGGCTGTGACAACGATCAAGAACATGTTGTCACACCAAGGTGCAGGTCAATCGTCCGAATCATCAACCCAAATGACCGTCTATGTCTCACACGTGCAGTATTTGTAGGATTGACTAAAATCTGGATGAAGGAGAGAGGAGAAGCAGCAGGAGTGTTCAAGGCCTTTTGTAAACAACCACAAGATCATCACGCAGGACCGGCACAAGAAATGCTACGAAAAGCGGGTATTCCTCTCAATCTTCAGGAATACTCGCTGGCCCATCTGGAAATTTTGCAGCAATCTTTAAGTCATCACATGGGCGGTGCGGGATATATTCGTCTGGTAGTGTTTAAAAAAGAACAACAGTATCGGATCGTGTATAAAGGAGAAGGAAAAGCCGCCCGTTTCAACATCTGTCTTCTATTGGAAAACAACCACTACCACTACATTGACAGGCCAGAACAACTATTCAACGTTGATCGTTACTGCATCGACTGCGAAAAAGGTGTTTCTAGATGGAGTCATTGGGCTGGATGCAGTGTTGTATGCAGGCTGTGTATGAGAACTGGGCCTGAATTTCCATGCCAGGTATTATTATATTTTTATTACAAACATTGCTTTTTCCTTTAGTTGGTAGAGAGAATTCCGTGCGCCGATTGCGGTTTTGTTTTCCCGAATCGACCGTGCTACGACTACCATCTGAGAAATGAGGCTCCTGAAGAGATGGTTCGTCACGGAAACAGACAATTTCGATCAATCTGCCAAATGCGAAGAATTTGCACTCGTTGCAACCACATTATTTATGCCGATAAAGAACAAGGCCACCAAGCAGAATGTCAGCCTCGCATGCATCACCTGCAACAACATCGGCAAGTTACAAACACCCCTCAACACCCGCTATGTAAGCAATGCAAAGGGCCCCACGAGCAAGAACAACCGTGTTTCATCCAGCCAATCAAGGAAGTAGATGATGAGGAAGAAGATAGTGGGAAGCGAACTCAATTGCGTCTGTGCTTTTTCGACGCAGAGACCAGTCAAGATGAGCCGATGCATATTAGCAACAACATCAAGGGATTCAAACACGTGCCTTTACTAATAATTGCAGAGGTAATCTATTTTTTCTTACCGAACATATTTTTTTATCAGGTCATCTGCGAAAAGTGCATCATTGCAGGTTTTGGAGTTGAAAACATTGGACAACGAGCGGAAGGCTGCTTTTGTGGAAAGCCGTGTAATGATCGATGGCGGCGCTGGTGTTCACCTCCCTTCAGAAATTCTCAAGGCGACAACACACCATCACCTGTCAACATCTCATACAATCCTCGTCGTATGTACTTCCATTCATTCGACAACGATCAACAAAGCCCTGTAGATCAGTTTCTTGATTACTTGCAGCAGCATGGTCCTAAAAATATTCTCACAGTCTGCATCGCTCACAATGGTGGTAAATATGATTTTCATCTTTTGCTGGAGGCGCTTCACCATCGCAGTATACCTCCAAAACGACTCTGCACTACAGGACTGAAAATATATTCAATGCGTTTGGGTGGTAGTAATCAAAGAAAGGTCCTTTTCAAGGACTCGCTCAACTACTTCTTCTGCGAACTTGATGCACTCACCAAAGTCTTTGCTCTTCCGGAGGAAGGGGCTACAACCAAGCCATTCTTTCCTTATCTCTACGTGAAAAGGCAACATCTTCACGAGAGAATAAGAGGTGTACCTCCATTGGAATACTACCAGCCGGACTACAAGAAGGCCGAGAAGAGAGCAAAGCTTCTGGAATGGCACCAACATCAAATGAACAACCCAGCTACGCACTTCCAACTACGAGAACAGCTAATCATCTATTGTGTAAACGACGTTGCCATTCTTCGCGAGAGTGTTCTCCGTTTTCGACATCTAATCGGAGAACACACGCAGAAGCTGGACCCATTCATCGCTGCCTCAACAGCAGCAGGCCTCGCTCTAACAACATTACGCCGATGCTTTCTACCGGAAAATTGGCTGGTTCATTCACCAGAAGGAGGTTATTTGCGTGGGAGAAGGGCATCAGCAGAATCGCAGCGCTACATCAAGCTGTTTGAAAAGGAAAATCCAGAATCAGCAGGGAAAGTGCAATGTGCCCAGTGGGCTGTTGGTGAGGCGCATGTGGAGGATACTGGTTACCGACTTGATGGACTTTGGTATAGATCACCTCCACTTCGACCATTGGCAATCGAATATATGGGCTGTTATTACCACGGTAATTTTATTATTCTTTTGCTACTCACCCATTATCAAATTTAGGTTGTCCAATTTGCTTCCCTGTTCGCAATCAACGCCTGGCCGCTGGAAAAACTGCTGAAGAGTTGTATGAAAGGACACAACAACGTCTATGGGAGCTAGAATATCAGCACGGCTACGCTCTACATGTAGTCTGGGGCCATGAGATGAAGGAAAGGTTGAATGGAAATCCTGGGCTCAAGCGACAATGGTGGGAGATTGAATATGTGAAGCCGATGGATCCGAGGGAAGACTGCTTGAGAGGTGGAAGAACTGAGCCTTTCAAGCTCCATCACGTCTGTGGGAATGACGAGGAAATTCTCTACATTGACATTGTAATTTTTCTTTAAACATACAATTTTATTTTATTATTATTATAGGTGAGTCTCTACCCTTACGTGATGAAGGCCCGCGAGTTTCCGATTGGCCATCCAACAGTTCTGACAAGAGAAACACTAATGAACACATTGCCTTGGACTCGCCCTAGCGACAATGCTTTCAAAGGACTTTTGCTGGTTAGAGTGCTTCCGCCAACATCTATACGAGGACTGCCACCTTTACTCGGCTATCGCACGCATGACGGACGTTTGACCTTCCCTCTATGTGCTGCGTGTGCTGATGATAGGCAACAACATCAATGCCATCATTCGGAAAAGCAACGTTCATGGGTGACTGGGTATACTCATGTGGAATTGAACAAGGCATTGGAGCTGGGGTATAAAGTAGTGGACGTCCATGAGGTTATTCTATTCTTAAAAAATCCTCTCAATTAGAAATTAGGTTTGGCACTATGAACGATGGGACTCAGATTTGTTCAAAGGATACGTCAACACTTTTGTGGGACTTAAACAGCAAGCAAGTGGCTGGCCGCAAGGATGTGAGACAATGGAACAGAAACAACGCTATTTGGCTGAATTTGAACAAGTAGAAGGAATTCGTTTGGAGATGGCCAAAGTGGAGTTGAATCCAGGCCTCAGAATGATTGCGGTTATTTTTTTTAGTAATTTTCAAATATTTGTAAATTTTAGAAAATTTTGGCAAACTCACTTTGGGGAAAGCTGGCTCAGCGTGTTGGTGGGACTGAAATTCGATATGCCCGGACTCCAGCAGAATTTCATCAAATATTGGAGGACCCGACACTTGACACGTTGGACTTTGCACACGTATCTGAGGAAATGGACAGATGTGTGGTAAGGAAAAAGGCTGAGTTTGCAACGGCGCCTGAGACCAACTGCTTACCCGTCGCAGCATTCGTAACATCATATGCCAGACTACATCTGTACGGGTATATGCAGCAGGTTAACAACATTGGTGGCCAACTCTTGTATTGCGACACAGATTCGCTCATCTATGTTGCAAGGCAAGGAGGGGAGAGAGTGGTTGAAGGCGAGGCACTTGGGCAAATGAAGAGAGAAATTCCAACACGGCGAATTGTTGAGTTTGTTGCTGGTGGACCAAAGAACTACGGCTATCGTCACGTGGATGCAGCAACAGGAGGAGATGAAAGGGCTGAGCTGAAGATCCGCTCGTTCCCTCTCTCCTATGCCACACACCAACTTCTCAACTTCCATTCAATGAAACAACTTGTGCTTGATCAATTCAACATTGATGGGGAAATGTATGTTTTTAAAAAAATTCATTAATCATTCTCTAATTAGTGACCAAGTGCTTGCTGATGGAGTGATTGGCGTGGACTTTCCGCAGATTGGGCGAACTAGACTTTCAGAACTTTACACACACATGGCTCACAAGGATTATCGGCCCTGCTATGAGAAGGGAAGAATTTTGCCTGGAATGGAGACTTTGCCGTTTGGATATAGAGAGGAGGTAATTAAAGGAGAAATAACCAAATAAACTATTTTCTATTATAGCTTGAAGAAGTACAAGAGGATTTTGAAGCATTGCCTGGCGGATCTAGATGGACTAGAGATGATTATTTGGCAAGATACTCATAGATATTATTTTTTATTGTATTCACACATTTAACTGTCTAGTAAATCTTATGAAATTTATTTACGTGTATATTTTTCAAATAGGGGTAAAAGCAAATTTTTAAATATCTCTTTCATCTGTTCTGGAGTTTTTATTCCAGTTAATATCACACGTCCTGAGATGTAGCAGAGACATGCAGCCTCTTTAAGTTTAAATCTAAGTGCTGGAAAGATTGTAGGATCGTAAAACACTTGGCGAAAATTATTGTTGTTGTTTCTAAGTTGTCTGTAAAGTTGCTCAATAGCCAAACGTTGTGGGTGGCTATAGACACCCACAATATTGGTGACTCGCAAATTTCTAAGTCCGATTGAAGAGTTGTTATTCCCTGCAGCCCTGTAAGAGGCCAAAATTCTTTTTGTAACTTTCCAAGCCAATTTCCTTGCAAGTTCAGGAGTTGGAACACCCGTAAGGACTACTTTAGAAGATTGAAATATGAGTGCAGCAGTAGTCCTATTTTCTTTTAATCGAATGCGCATAATTATTGAATGGAATCTCTTTGGATTATACTCTGTGTTTATTCCAAATCTAGCTAGTTGGATAAAATTTTCATGAGAAAACCTTAATTTCCTAGGCAAAAGTTTGAATACAGCAGTACAATTTTCTATGTTCATAATATTTACTTGACAAAACAATTTAACAATTTAATAATTTATTTAAAAAAAATCAAAAACATTTTTTCATCTTATTCTCAGTCACAGAAAGAACTTCCAACGGGTAGTAAGAACGGTGACGGCCTCCTCCAAATTCAATAATACAAGGCAAATAAGGATGCTCCAGTTTGACTTTATGTTTGATGTAGTAGTATCCGCGGACCTGAATATAAAATTTACAAGTAGTTTAATAACTATTTACCGTTATGCTCAAATATCCGCCCATAGCATGAACCACACTTGCCGATCGAACAGTCAGATCGTTGCAGTGAACAATAAAGTTTTTGCAGCAGGGTTTGAGATGACAAGTACGTAGTTCTACATTTCGGCGGAGATGATTAATTATTTCCCGGCGCTCCTCAAGATTATGGAAGAGAACAAGAAGTTCTTTGAGAGAGCAATTCTTCAAATTGCACAAATATTCAATTAGCGGTAAAGATTCCGGTGCAGGCGGTGGAGTAGGTTCACGAAATGGATTTTCGACAGTCCAGTCCAAAGGCTCCTCTATAGTTATACGAAGTAGCTTCTCGCTCATATCAAGCATCGCCTCGTCAATATCTTCCTCTTCCTTTTCTTCTTTGATCTTTACTTCAAAAGGAACACCAAATGCTGGGGTAGGGGGCTGTAATTAAAATTAATTGTATTTTTTAATAGAAATATTACCTTTTGTTCCTCCATTGCTTCCTCAACCTTTTCTTCTGTCGGAACTCCCACTGCTGCTGTAGGTGGCTGAAAATTTCAAATAATTGGAGTTTAAATAAAAATTAAACCTCCGGTTCTTCGTCGACAATGACTAATTCAGGCTCATGTTGCGCAGGCTCAGGAATAAATGGCACACCATCTTCTACACCCCAAATCATAAGCGAAAGAAATTCCATAGTTCTGAATAGAAATTACAATTTTTTGGATCTATATATACTAGTAAAATGATTGAATCGTACCTTTTAAAATGAACGGATTTGAACACGTTGATTTTATTCACACACTGTTTAAGCACCCTTTCACGATGATTGTGTCAGGAAGTACAGGATCTGGTAAATCAGAATGGGTAAAAAAGCTTTTGAATAATCTAAAAGAAATGACAAATATAAAAATTTCAATGATTCTTTATTGTTATGGGGAGCTAAATTCAAATATAATACAAATGCAGCGCAAGGGTTCGGTGGGAGATATAGGTGTTAATGTTCATTCTGGAATGCCGAGCGAAGATTTTATTAAAAGGCAGGCCAATGGACTGTTACTTATACTAGACGATTTAATGGTTGGAATTGATCAAACTATATTAGAAACAATATTCACAAGGGGGTCCCATAATTGGAAAATGAGTGTTATATTGTTAACACAACATTTATTTTGCAAAGAATTAAGAATCCCGCGTAATAATTCACATTATTTGGTCTTGATGAGGAATCCCGCTGGTTCCCTACAGATTAAAAACCTTGCTACCCAATTATTCCCCACGCGATCAAAATACTTTCTAGAATCGTATGCCGATGCGACAAAGGAAATGTTCGGTTATCTATTAGTTGATCTTCACCCAAGTACCCCAGAAAAGCTTCGTCTCAGAACACATATATACAATGAAAGTGAAACAATAGTTTATGTTCCAAAATGACAAAAACTAGCGAATTAATAGAAAGGAATGCTGATTTTTTACATTCAGCAAATACAAATTCAAAAAAAGTATTACGAAATCTTTTGGAAAAAGCGACGGATGAACAATTATTATGTTTTGTTGAAATTTGTTTAAATTTACTAAGGGGGCGTCTCCCTTTTCATAAAAACAGGATAAATACCCTTCAAAGAAATGCAAGTATTTTACGTAAAATTAGTCGGTCTCGGACCGCCCCCACAACAAGAAATTTGTTACAACAGGGAAAAGGTATACCTCCTTTGGCTGGACTTATAGCAAGTCTAGTTATCCCGTTAATTGTTGAAAAAATAAATAATATAAATATGAAAAAATAAAATAAAAATGAAAAAAATGCAGCGAATGTTTCTTATTCCTGAAGATTTTTACAATTCTCTTTTAGAGAAAAATGAACAAGGGGATGGTAGTGCTATTGGCTTAATCAAAAATCACTTGAAAAATGCTGTTGCGAATAATGAGAGAATGGATCCCGATTCTCAAGCAATTAATTATGAGCAGAATTTGAAGAGATTTAACAAACTTTTAAAAGAAAAGGAGGAAAAACCGATAAATGTAAATGTAAGAAATTTTTCTGAAAATTTAGGTGTAAACAATTCTAGAATAGTCCTGAGAAAAAAGGTAAAAAGAAAAATTGGAAAGAAAAAACACATTCCAATTAAGAGTGAGGAGGAAGTTGAAGAGGAAGGGGGCGGGGCTTTTGAAGAAGAAGAATACCAGTCAGCTGAAAGTGATGCTGATCCAAAAGATCAAGCACTGGAATATTTAAGAGAGAATGCTGATATACTAGGCATTTTGGAGGATGGAAGACTTGCCAGAAAAATTGGTAACGATTATCCATTAATTACAAGTAATGTTGAGGAAATTGTAAATCATATAATTAGAAATAAAGGGATTCGTACAAAGAAATTACCTACAGGTTACGACGAATTTATTAAAAGAGTAAACGATCATCCTATTTTACAACAAATTTTATTCCCAGAATCTAAGCAAAAAGGTTCTGGTGTATTTAGTTTTAAGCCGTCGTTATGGACGAGGCCAAGCTTTTAAATAAATTGTACAAAAATGTAAAATCCCCTTCTTGCTTCACTTCTATTGAACCTCTATTGCGAGAAGCTAAATGTTTTAACAAAAGCATCTCAAGGCAAGATGTTAAAAAATATCTTGCAGGACAAAATGTCTATACCCTCCATAGGAGGGTTGTGAGAAAATTTAAGCGAATGCCAACACTTGCCCCAGGTTTGCATACTGAATGGCAGGCTGATCTGAGTGTTTTTAATCGTATAAGCAGCAAGAATAGAGGGTTTAACTATCTTTTAGTCTGTATAGATACACTTAGCCGCCAAATATTTGTTGAACCTGTCAAAAGTAAACATAGCGGGAGTATGATTAATGCATTTAAAAAGCTATTTGCCCGAGTAAAAATTGTTCCTTGGAAACTTTTGACTGATCAAGGACTAGAATTTACTGCAAGCCCAGTACAAAAATATTTCAAGTCATTAAGTATGGAACACTTCTCTATGATTACTTCTCCTATATGGCATGCAGGAATGGCCGAACGAGCCAATCGTAGCATTAAAGAGCGATTATACCGTTATTTTACGGAGAACAAAACATTAAAATGGGTGGATGTTATTCAGGAGATTGTTAATTCTATAAACAATTCCTTCAATTCAAGTATTGGGATGCGTCCTGTAGATGTTAATTATGAGAATGCTGAATCATTGCGACAATCTCTAAAAGAAAAGGCAGTTGAGCAACATGGACCGACACGCTGGAAAACAAGTAAGTTTAATGTAGGCGACCCTGTAAGAGTTGAAAAGAATAAGCAAGTGTTTAAAAAGGGATATTTGCCAAACTTTACAAATGAAATTTTTATTATTGCTAAAGTCCGATTGGTTCCACATCAACCTCCCACCTATAGAATTCGTGATAGGGAAGGAGCCTTAATTCGTGGTTGGTTTTATGGTAATGATTTAGTTCTAGTCAGAAAAAAATTAAAAGAAAGTATCTATATTGTGGAAAAGGTTTTGGATAAGCGAAGACATAATAGAGAGGATCAGATATTTGTAAAATTCAAAGGATACGGTAACGAACATAATAGGTGGATTCCTTCCAGTGCAATAACCTGGAAATGATATAAATATTATGTCATTCTTGCCGATTTTGTTAAAATGACTTCTTTCTATATTATTCTCCCTTCAAACACAAATGTTGATAGAAACAGGACAAACGCTTTTAGAGTCCGCCTCCCTCGTAAGCTACAATTTAATTCGGAGTGGTACGTTGGCTTGACTGTTATGGTCTACCCACACTCATGGCCTTCGATAGGGACTAGTACTGATCAATTTGTAACTGTAACTTGGCAAAGTGGTGAGGTTGTCCGAGTAGCTGTTCCCTCTGGCAATTTAACTAATCCCCAACAACTTAAGGAAAGCTTGGACAGGTCTTTAAGTGAAGGGTGTGAAACACTTGCTGAGAATTTACGGGTTACTGAAATGGAATACAAGAAACAGTTAAAAGACCTTAAAACAAAATCAAAAGAAGAGTTCAAGAGACAAAGAGAGGGGAAAAGAATAGAATTAAATGCAACTGAAATACAAGAGGGGGATATCAAGTCAGAGAATGAAATTTATGAGGAGATGTTAAGGGATTTTAACACGAGTCTTGATGAAAATACTAAAAAATTATTATCTTTAACCAAAGAAACTGGGTTTGAGCCTTGGCTGCAGGTTTATCGTAAACCAGGAATTGCATGTGCCTTCGATTTTCATTCATATAAAAATCGTTTTTCTCTATTTGTAGGTAAAAAATATGTAAAGAAAGTTGAGATTACAGAACAATTAGCTTATATTCTAGGATTTGACAAAACTGTATTGAATGAATCAACTCTTGCAAAATTCATGCCAGATATGAGTGGAGGTGTCTCTAGCTTTCATGTTTATGCCCCAGGATTAATTGAACCAATGGTAATTGGCGATGTTACAGCTCCTGTACTTCGAATTGTGACAATTCGAGGCAAGCAGGATGAAATTATCGAGGAACAATTTCTTTCTGTACAGTACCATAAATTACTTGTAAAAGAAATTTCCGAAATACTCATTGAAATACGCACAGCCAGTGGGGTACTTATGCCATTTCAATACGGAACTTGTACATTAACTCTCCATTTTAAAAAATCTGCTTATTTCTAATGAATACGATACAAATTGACAAAATACTGAGAAGGAACGCTATTACAAAAAGGTTTTATATTGGCTGTTTTGCATCTGATAGGATTCCTCTTACAATATCTAATTTTCCCTATTGTATGGTTGTTAATACCGACCCTTCATTGCTCCCAGGCTCTCATTGGATAGCTATATTTTGCTCATCTCCCTCTAGTGTTGATTACTTTGACTCGTTAGGATTTTGGCCACCATTTAGCTTTTATATTAAACAATATTTATCAAATTTTACAAAAGTTTCCTTTAATAGAATTCAAATACAGCAGCCAATGGGGCGCACTTGCGGTAAATACGCAATATTTTTCTTGTTTATGCGTTGTTCAGGTTTTTGTATAGAAAATATCATTTTAATATTAAGCAGAGTAAATGCTGATAGATTTGTCTCGCAGTTTATTGCATCCAAAGCTTTTAATATAAATAATTGAAAGCACACATTTTGTTTACTACAATGCATATTGACTTTAATCCTCTCTATGTTGATTGGTCATCGTTGACCGAATCTAATGACCAATGGGGTGGTTATAACGTTTTTCGGGGTGTTCCCTTCCAAAGAGGTAGCGGTTTAGGATCTGTTTTTCGAAGTTTGCTGAGGTATTTGATTCCAATTGGAAAAGAAATTGGCACAGCCATTGGTCGCCAAGGGTTGGAATCAGGCAATCGTGTCTTGAGTAATGTATTGGAAGGGAAAGACCTTAAAGAATCTCTTGTGAATGAGGGTAAATCAGGACTGAAGAATTTGTTAGAAAAAGCAGCCAATAATATTGAGAAACAAAAAGGAAATGGTTTTGAATTCAAAAGACAAAAGGAAACTCGTTCCAAAACAATTGGACAGATGAATACCGAAAATATAAATAAGACTTGTTATTCCAAGATTGGCCCACCAAACTTTATTCCTAAGTTTTCAAAAAAGAAAATATCTCGTCCAAAGAAACGTTTACGCATAGACGCATTAGGACCATATTAAAATGAGTTGTTCCAAGAAGATTAATGAGAACAGCCCCCTGGCGCTCAACAGTGCTTTAAGCATTTTTTCCGTTCCTCCCACAAATGTTTCTGTTATTCGTTCCTTCTTTCGTGAAATTCTTCCACTTAGTACAATAACACAAGACTCTCCCTATCTATTTCGTTTGTTTAGCGATAATCTCTGGACAGACTTGAGTCGTACATATCTTCATCTTGAGCTTTCTATTGAAAAACAGGAAGCAGGAGGAAAATGGACACATATTTTGGCAACGGATACTGGTATTGGATCAATCCAAGGAATTGGGCAAACATTTGTTCAACAACTTAAAGTTACTGTAGGTAATACAGAGGTTTATGATAGCGGAACACTTTATCCTTATAAATCTTATTTAACAAATGAACTCTCATTTCCTGAGAATGTAAAAACAAATTTTCTTTCTTCCATTGGTTATCGGTTGAGCAATAAACATGATGATATTACTGATCATGGTTTTCTAGAACGTTGCTCGATTTTTAAAGAAGGAAAGCGGGCCCAGTTCCTTTCTCGCTTAGATTTTGATTTGGGAAATCAGGAATTATTTTTACTCAACAATCTTGATATTCACTTTAGCATCTATCGTTCCAAAGATGCTTTTGCACTTCAGAAGTTAAATCCTGCTGACGAAAATCGGTATAGAATATTTGTCCACGATGTTAAACTGCTAGCGAAAATGATTGAGGTCCAGCCCTCACTTAATATGAGTATCTACAAAACCCTTGAATCAAAGCCGGCTACTTATGCAGTGAGAAGAACTGAGCTTAAATCTACTTTCCTTAGTCCTGGAAGAACCGAAATTGAATACAATGCATTTAGCTCAACTATTCCAAGAAGAATTACCGTTGCACTTGTTGCAAATGGGGCATTTAACGGGGACATTAGTCTTTCACCATTTAATTTTAAACCATTCAATTTGAGGGATATTTCAGTTCATACTGGCGGCCATATCTATCCAATGGTCTCATATAAGCTTAAATTTGACGAGGATATTTTCGTAAGGGCTTATGTTGACATGTATGAAGCATTGGGGATGGCCAATTCGGATAGGTCCTTTGACATCTCAATGTCCCAATTTAAATCGGGCTGGAGTTTCTTTGTTATTCCCCTAACATCTACTTTAGATGACTCTTGCGGATTTGAGCTGCTACGTAGTGGAACAACTAGTGTTCGTCTAGAATTTAATTCACCAATTCCAGCAGGTGGTGTCGAAATGATAATTATGGGCGAGTTTGATCAACTGCTAATGATTGATTATAACAGACATATTGTTTCTGATTCAACACTAGGTTAATACATAACAGTTTTCCTAATTTTGGTAATAACAATGAACAATACAATCGACGTTCCTTACGATTTTTTATCTCTTGATAGAGAATATTTGGAGGGTAAACAGGGCCAAACTATAAGTACAGGATTTCCCATTATTCTATTATTATATTCACTTTTATTACCCATCCTAGTCCTTTGCTGGGTTTCAACAATAAGATATTTACGCAACCGCGGCTATTTAACTAATAGCGAGGCAGCGGATATTGTCCAGAATTTTCCCCTTGTCTCTACACGTAACCCAAAATAATAAACTGATAGTCAGACCAAATGATGGTACATGTCGTAGCTGGTCAAATGTGGTTTGGCGAAATGTGATTTTATAGAGTGTTGGCCAAATGTGGTTTACTTCTGCAGAAAAATAGAAAAATAGGAGCGAGAGAGTGTACTTTCACAAGAGAGTACACTCTCTC